GGACAGAGGGTGTAGAAGGGTAAGGGACAGAGGGTGCAGAAGGTTAGGGGACAGAGAGTGCAGTGACTATGAACATCTATATCAGGAAGGTATCCAATCAAAGAATGAAATAAAGATTTAATTTATATTTAATTTGAATAAAGTGTTTATTTCATGTTTCATATGTTTTTGCATAATTGAAATGTCTTCCTTTCTCATATTTCTCAGTACTAGGCCCTAGAGGCCCCACTACTTAAGTCTTAGGGACATACAATCAAAATGTTGACCCTGGGCATCACCAAACCTCTGCATGTCACTGTTACTGATGCTTTGATAACATCTCATGCAATGGAAGGCAGAGGGTGAGACGGCCCCGGGCATCCATATCAGAGGGTATCGAATCATAAAGTGAAATAAAAATTTAGTTTTTATTTAATTTGAATAAAGTGTCTATTTCATGTTTCATATGTTTTTGCATAATTAAAATGTCTTCCTTTCTCACATTTCTCAGTACTAGGTCCTTGAGTCCTTTCTTTTGTATCTTAGGGGCATACAATCACAGAAGTTGGCCCCAGCATCACCAAATATCACTAAACCTCTGCACACATGGGTTTATCTCTGATTCCAGCCTGAAGAAGTCTACCATATTCTCTTGAAAAATTTATTTCGGTTGAGCTCTCTGGGGAGGAAGTGTAAGTTTTTAAACAGTGACTATTATGGCTAATAATTCAAGACTCTTCAGTAAAGTGAATTGAGTTCTCTCAGTCACTGTGTGTTTATCCAAAAATAAATACGCTTAAATTCACCTTCATCCATGCCAACAACTTAGGGATAAAATCTATGACTGACACCAATTCAGCTGGGTTTTGATCCTAGCTAGAGGCAACTGTACATCTAGCCACAGAAATGAGCTGTAATACAGCGAAACGGCCTGTCTGTGGATGACAAAATATATACATACATACATACATACATACATACATATATGTGTGTGTGTGTGTGTGTGGCCTGATGATTGCATTCAGCATGAAACAGTCTGTCACCTCTGAGTGTTGATTTCAATGTTCACTTTATATATATATATATATATATATATATATATATATATATGTGAAAATATATAGAAAAAAAATTTCGCTTGAAGATGGAACGGAGCCCATTTTACTTTCAACTCAATTTAATTTAAAGGATTATATTGAAGTTTTCGGCTCTTGTTTTGAAACATGAGACCTCTTATGTAGTGATTTGGAATCATATTTTTAAATAAATAATTATATATATATATATATATATATATATATAACTTCAAATATTATTATAGCAGGTACTTGTATTTGAAATACATGTCCCATTTTTATTTTCAGTTTAAACTGTTTATTACATCCAGTGTTCTGCATATTTGAGAAATAAAGAAAATTTGCTCTCCAGCAGGAATTGAGCCTGTGTCCCTCTTTATAGGAGAAACTATTGTTTGATCTGGAGCACCTTATGGCTCAGCTATGAAGAGTGTCACAAGTAGAACAAGGCTCTATTTCCACCCTGACCTTTCTTTAAGGGAACTGTATGTCCTCTAAGATAATTTTCTTGAAAGCCTATATCTGCTTAGTTTCATATCTTAATCATAAACAAGGCAATTTCTAAAGAATGAATAAGATAAAGCTTTGTAGGTTTGTGATACTCTTCATCTAGAAAGTGGGACATGGTTTTGATTCCTGTTGGGGGGGCACATTTTCTTTATTCAAATTTGTCAAATATGCTGGCTGATACACACTGTTTAACATAAAAATAAAAATAGAGTGTCTCTTTCAAATACAAATATCCAATATAATAATGTTTGAAATAATAACATTTTTTTAAGGTGAAATGCCACTAAGACACAAGGGGCTACTGGGAGTGAAAGAGAATGAGAAGACTTTAGAAGAAACCGGAAACCCAATCCTAAACAGGAGACAAGGGATGAACCTCTACTCCTATTCAAAAGACTGGGGAGGAGTGTGAACTAGATGATGTTGGATTAAAAATAAATACATTAATTATATATATATATATATATATATATATATATATATATATATATATATTTGTTGGATTGATGTGAGTTTGTGACGCTGGGTTTCACGCTTTTGTGATTGTAAAAGCATGAAACCCAGGGTCACAAACTCACACCAACCAAATATGTTAGCTCTATCTCTGATATTGAGCACTTTATAATAAGTACCACATATATAATATATAAATAATTATATATATATATATATATATATATATATGTATATAATAAATGTGAATGTCAGTATCAGTCACACTTTTTCAATTTTACTTGTAGAGGCTGTAGCCCAACATGTTATACCATTTTGGCATCAGGCCAACTCTGTGAGCAAATTTAAAACATTCCAAGACATATCAGCACCTGCAATCTTGAAATTTTGAATTCCCAAATTTGCATTATTGTGATTGTTTTTGGCGATTTTTTACATGATTTTTTGATACAAATTTTTTTGTATGATAATAATTTCTTTAACTTGGAAATAAATTTGGGAATAATCAAAATTAATTGCAAAATCCAGCAAAAGTCACACAAGAAATAAAAGTAATTTTATATGGAAAGTAAGGACCTATGTACATCAAATTGTCAATAGATAGATAGATAATGTACATATTCAGGTAGATAGATGATGTACATATTCAGATAGATAGATAGATAGATAGATAGATAGATAGATTCATCACAATTTGTCTCACACAGAAAAAATTGAAAACACAGGAAAAAGCAAGCAGTATGTGAAAGGGCGAATAAAAAGAAAGTCTTGCAATGTCCTTTTGAAGAAATACAGTACAACCTTAGTAATTGATATTACTTATTTAGGATGCATAGTATTATCTTGTTTGCTGAACTGCTGCTAGCTGCCACTCTGCCTCATTATTTATTATACAATGTACAAATATGGCACAAGGTCAAAAATTGCAGATGGGGAAGGCTGGTCTTCATCTGTCTTATACTTAACTTAGCTAGACACAATCACTGACTCAAACATACTACAATAACCCTTGCACCAAAACAACACATTCTTACTTACCACTCTTGCTACATCCACCATAGTACCTCAGAGACTCTATGAAGTCCTAACTAGTCACCATAGTCAGTTTGTCAGAGTGAGGAAGGAATAAGATAACAACTTTTAAAAATTTATAACCCCAATGAATATTTACAATGAAAACAAGATTTATTTACAAGAAACAACACTAAACAGTGTTAGTAATAAAAACAAAAAACAAAACAAAAGCACAATCCTTAAATATGGCAGAAACATCAGTTAACTGGATGAAATTTAATACAGGACTTAAATACTCAAAACGCACATTCGTCCAACCACTCAGTCAAACATGCACTCATTCAAACAAACACAGCAACAATTATGAAAATCACACCCGAAATACAAAAGGCATCCTGCATCTATCAGAGAACTAACATCTCTGGCTACCTAATGGAGGAGGAGAGGGGGAATGAAACTAAAGAAAGTGGGTGCAAAAATAAAAGGGCCCAATGAGCATACATCCCCTAGATAAGTTAACTTTGATAGAGAAAACTGGAGCAAAACAAGCCTAAACTACCCTGTTTTGGATGGGGTTACCAATATTCACTCCAGCAATTTCCAATATTTGTAATACGTAACCAGCATCAAAATTCCACTCTAAGGCAGCAACTTTTAGTAGACATAAACAAGCAAGACTCACCCACCTTTTGCCAAATTCTGATGGATGGAGTTGTTACCTTTCCGGCCTAATCTTGACTTTAAGCTGATACCTAAAGAACAAGATTAATAGGGAAGAAGTAAACTTCTTGACCCCATGGAATTCCTTTGGTCACATTGTCCATATCATGACTCGCATAATGTCTAGTAAATAAAAGAACACATAGTGCTCAGCCTTAGTCAATAGTGGTATAACATTACTGCAAATAGAACTATGATGTCCTCAACAAACTTGCACAACAGACCTATGACCCTGCAGTGGAAGAAAGTATAGCTGAGGGTCTCCACTGCCCCACCACAGTGAGCACAATTTTTTCTGAACCCGCCAAATAAAGTCTCTTGCCAACCCAGAGGGTCTTCCAAATCAGCACCCAGGTGAGTGATGCCTCATTGTTATTGAGGCACTTCAATCCAAGGTTATATGGAGTGAGCCTCCTGCTTTGTAAGACTTAGCTTGCCTATCAAATCATCCTGAACAGCCTCTCTTTCTAACACCTGATATAATGCCTTATGGGGTACCACTTTGATGTCAGAGAAGCCACTGTAGAGGATTATTATTCAATGCAATGTTTGGACTACCATTTGTAGAGGTATATCAGGATTAGCTACCATTTGTACAGTGAATTCGGTTACATGTTCAAAATAATGTAAATCCTCAACACATTTAATTACTTCTTCAATGAATTACAGAGCAATGAACAAAATGAGAAATTACACAAACCAATAATGCATAACAACAAACAAATTTTATTTCTATAGCATAAGAAAATACAATAGTTTATGCTGGAATGAATTCAAATTTCTAAATAAAATCTGTGTGGTGTTTGTTTAAATCTTTCTATAAACTCTTTGTGGTGTTTGGAATGTAGTTTATGAGTTTAAATGAAAGATTGTATGTTGAAGTTGTTGTGATGAAAAGTTCACAAAGTCAGTGAAAGTATTAATCTGTTTATGTGGAATTTAAACAGTTTTGTGCAATATAAATTTTCAGTGTGGTTTGGAATAAATTTAGTTGCGGTAAAAGTTATCTTCCTTTGATCATTTTTTGTCAAGGAATAATGTTGAATTGTTTGAGCAAATTCAGAAGAGAAAAATGTTCTGTGATTGAGAACTTGAAGTGATAAGCAATTCTCTGCTGTGTAATAAACAAAGTTGAAAATGAAGATGAGTGAGTGATGTTTGAAGGTTTGGATTATGTTAAAAGGTAACTTTAAAAACTCCAGATGATAAAGTGACATGGATTTGTTTAGCAACTGGTTTGTGGTCACAATGCTCACTAGTGAGATGAGTTTGCATGCTGAATTTATTTACTTGGGTGGACATGTGATAGGCTCCAGAAAATTCGCACCAAAACTTGATCACAAGATGAAAAATAGATATGCCTGGGTGGATGTCGATGCACACTTGCTTGTTTATGAACCAATCAGCAAGTGAATTTTTGGAAAATATGTGTTTTGTACAAGAATATCACTGTGATCCACTTTTAGATGGCTTTTGCACAGATCTTAACAAAATCTCGTAGTGATCCACTTTTAAATGGTGTTTGCACAGAAATGTAGAATTACAATTCTACACCACTTTGTCTCCCTCAGAGGTCTAGGCAGTAACTGAACTATATTCACGAACATGCTGTCATGTGATCCTCAAAGTCCTCTTAGGGGATCAGTAAATTTATCCTGTAAAAAGGGAGATAATCACCTTCTGTGTGTCTACATCAGGAATATTTATATCTTTTTTAGGATGCCACTTCTTATTGTAATGATTAACGAAATATTCTTATAGATCATTAGCAGAGCAAGTTTATTCCTTGTCAGGTGCTCCATACTTGAAGCCTTGTGTCAAAACGAAGTGACACTTAGTAAATAACTAGAATCTCTTTTTTTTTTTCATTCCGATAGAAATTTGAAGGTTGAACATTAAAAGCCAGAAAAGATTACTTAATTTTATTTCTTCCAAAAGATCTCATTTGTTTGGTAGACTAACTTTTTTGAGCAGTGAGAGAGAAGGAAAGAAATAACTAATAAAATATTTTGGTTAAATTTCTATTTAAATTATCAATTAAAAGTTAAAACCCAGTTTTTTTATGATTAAATTCTTACTTTATTATGAAAAAAATAAATTTCTAATTTCTTTGAGAGTAAATTTAAAAATTATTCTCATTCAGTTCCAAATGAAAGTTTAGAAATGAATTCAGTTAGAACTTGTATTCTGAGAAAGATTTTTATTAACATTTTATTTTTTATATTAATGTTAACCGGAACTTATAGGAGTTATCTACCTTGAAGTAGCTCTCACATCTCTTGTTTGGCGGCGCCATTTTAAAAAAAAACAGGGCCTTGACATGTGAGTATTTGCAGAAATAGTGATATCTTATTTATTTATACGGAATGTTTACGTTTGTTACCTATCTATATATATTATCTCGTATGCAAACAACTGCGGTATATCATGCTATAAGCCTACTTTGATGAAATGTTAAAAGAAAAAGTGGTTTGAACGAAGACGTATCCTTGGAACCGGTATTAATGAATGGTTTCTCTTGTAACAAGATAAGAAATTATTGTTTCCCATTACAATATTTGCCTATGTATTGATTTTATGTAATTTTTTTTCTTTTAAAATTAACTTTATTATGTAATATGGTCAGGAGATATTTTGAAATAACTGAAGATTTACGTTTCTTTGAAATGTCAATACCATTATGGAAGACGACTATTGTAGTGTAACGACATTGAGTAGTTATCTCAGACAGCAATTATTTGTTTTTTTTTTGTTTAATTCTTTAATTCCTGTTTGAGTTTATGTGACTTTTAGTATTTTTTTAACGTTTACTGAAAAAAAGCGGTACTTTTTTCTAAATGAAACTTGTGAATAAAATTTTTGCAAGGAAAGAATATTAAGCGTTATTCTTCGTCTCTAATCTCATTTTTTTTTTAAATTTATCAAATACATATACAAACTTTTTCTTTTGCGAAAAGATTATATACTTTGGAAAATTACTTTTTGAAGCTTAAATCATTAATTAAACGGGACGATTTTTTTCAGTTTTGGTTATGCTATGAAAAATCAATTTTGTATTTTTACATAACCATACTGTTCGTGTTGGTATTACGGACAGCAAGTAAGTAGTAAATTATTTTTATGAATCAGTAACTTTAATTTTGATTTAAATTGTAACAAATGATTTAAAACAATAACTTGCTACTGTTTAGTTTAAGTATTCAAAATTATTGAATCAACAATTGATGTTTTAGTGACACTAACAATATTTTTAAAGAAACGGTGATCTTTTAAAATCTAAGAAAGCATTCTATTTCTAAGGGTTTTAAAAAAGAAAAAGGATTCTAGGCATTTAAAGATCATCTTATTTTGATGTTATTTGTCACACGGACCTTTTCTAATATCGCGTGCCCTCATGCGTACTTGGGGGGGGGGGATCACATATTGAAAGTATGATCACATATTGAGTAGACCGGTCCAGACAATAAAAGAAGAAAAAAAAAAAACAGGAACTTTTTAATTTTAAGAAATAATTTTCGTAGACTAGCATTCTGTAGTGTAGACCATTCTTATGCCGCGGCAAATGTCAGAATCGAAAAATATTGATCTGTTATCGATTTAGGCGGTGGTTTATAATATCGATACAGTGTCAAGTTGATCACTGATTTTTATAATTATTGGCCATAGCTGTTTTACGTACAAAAACATTTTGAGGTTTAGTTTAAATTGTTTTTTTTTCTTAAATTTCTCTTAAATAACGAACAAACGAATAAATTTTAAGTAGGTACCTCCACTAATTTTCGATCAGGTTATGAAATTTTTAAATGAAAAAGCTTTCATTTTACCTTTAATTGAAGGGTAAAGGATTTATTTACTATTTCCACTAAGCAAAATACTCAAACTGCCTTCAACTAGGAAATAATTAAATACTTTGTTTTTTTATGGAAGTTACAGAATTTGTAAAGGACAATAACTTGTTCTTTAATGGACCCCAAACGGAATTATAAAGGATAATTTTCTAGCTAAATTTGCAAACTTCATTTGTTTTCAAAGTATTTATTACTTTGCTGTTTTTGCCCAGTCTTGAACCCACTACTCCCTTTCAGGAATAATATTTAACCTCCCTATATGACAAGTGTAGGTGTACTTTTATACTCAAGATGTTTAATTAAAGTCAAAAACAACTTAATTCTTTCTGTCTGAATTTCTGAGATGAGATGTTACCATTATTTACATGCTAAAAAATGTGGGTTATAGCCAGTGCCTAATCTTTTTTACATTTAAAGCTATTATCTCTGGGGTAAGGAGTAGTAGACTTTCTTTTTTAACCTTGAAAATAAAACATTCATTTTCAATTTATTTGTGGAAACTTGTTTTTGTGCAATTTGGAGATTATAATTTTTTTTCTTTCAATGTATATTTTAAAATTTGTCACTTAAAAATGTTTAAATGCTTATAAAAATAGCAATTTTGAATTTGCTTCAATAAAAAATGTATTAGTTTAAAAATGTTTAAGGTTTGGTTGATCTGATGCTCTCAGTAGAGTGTTGATATGATTTTGTTAAATTATCACTAAATACAAGAAATTTGTCCCTTAAAATTGTTTTTTTTTTTATATTCGAGACTTTTTTTTTTTTTTTTAATGAAGTTAAAATTCAAATATGAGATACCCTAGTTTGTATTCCTAGCTTGGGACCTGATTTTGTTGACCTAAAAGTATGTCATTGTGAAACTTGTTAGGCTGATCTAGTTGCTTATGGTATATCTCTTCTCTCTTATCAAAATGTAGTTGATATTTAATAGAGTATGATGACATCCCTACAATCAAACAAAAGATTCATCTTCTCTGCATCAGTATTTTTTTTGTTCAGTTCAAGTGTTACTCCCCCCCTCTTTTTTCTGAGATGTAGATCATTTCTTATTTAAATAGTCTCTAATTCAGTTGTCATCTAATTGGGCTTAGATTTGAACAACTAAGAATTAAAGTTATCAGGGTATATTAATTGAAGTCTATGGCAAGCTTACAAAATATTACTTTGAAAAAAATTCATTTTTCATTATGCTAATAACAAAGTTAGCTTGGCATTAAAATATGTGAATAATGGCTCGCACAAGAAAGTTAGTTCAAGAAAATTATAAGTAGTTGTGTCAAATAAGAAAATTGTAGCAAATATGGTAGTGAAAAACTTTGAACAGTTTCACTTTTACATCAGAACTCCTAATAGATCTGAAAGTGGGCCATTTTACATATGGGATTTGGAAATGGATTGAGGCTTGATAATGTTGGATTTTTATATTCTATATTTGCAGAGTTTAAGCTGCAAGGAACAAATTTGAACAAGTCAGTAAATTGATTTTTCTTTTAACATTTTTTTTTATCTTTCAGCCATTTCACATACTCCATTAATGTTTTCATCATAGTTGTATCAAACTTTCTAGAAAAAATTGTTTTTAAAAGGAAATAATTTTTTGGCAAACACAACTTGTAAATGAACCATTTTTTTTTTATTATTTATTTTTGAAACAAAAATAATGTATTAGCTTTTTATTTTCTTTACTGAAAAATAATTATGTTTAGTGTAGTTGGGTTTCAATTCTGTTCCCCTGTATGTTAATACTTTTCATTGGTACAGATGAGTTTTACTTTTTATACTGTAATTTACATTTTAAAAATTTAATTCACTATAACTTGACAGATAAATTTGTGTGTACAAGTAAATAGCTACATCTGGCAAAAATGATGGACTTGATAGTTTGCATATGCTAACTAATGCTATATATACACTGAAAATTTACAAAGATACCTAGAAACTTTATAGCTGTGGGAAATTAATCTGTTGTATTAAGAATGAAATCTTTTATTCTCTGAATAGTATAGACATGACAATACTCCAAATATCAGTGGTTAGAGTTAAATTTGTTGAACACTTGCATTGAGCTTATACAGTTTTACAAACAAAACTCAGTGTTAGCAGTTCACTTTGATTTTTATAACGACTAATACTTCTGCTGCTGTTGACATTGATATACATTTTCAAGATCCTGAAATGTTGGTTCCTAATACTTGTGTTATAAACTAAAGAGTACTTAGTGCTATTTAAAAACAGACATAGTATACAATCTAACCTGTTTTGTGACCTCATTTTTATTATATTTTATCTGTGTGTTGTTTAGCTTAATTGGTATTGCCTAATATCTGATTGAATCTAAAATGGTAGTGCTCAGGAGGAGGCATGGTAGAGTAATGGATAGCAGCTTGGATTGAGGAATCGGAGAGTTGTTTGAATTCTAGTCGAATCCATTACATTAACCTACGTGTTGATACCCTTGGGAAAGGTATGAATCCTCTTCTTCTCCTCCAAGCTATGGGTAAATAGTAGGACAGACCGGGTTCTATAGCCTTGGATGGTAACTGGTCTACCACAGAAAGAAATGGCAATCAACTTCGGTGAAAAAATCTGCCTCATCAGTTATGTATTGAAAGATACATGATCGCCTAAGTGTGTATCACACATGGCACATAACTGACTGAGTGCTCAGGAGAAATCACAAAATCATTTATTTCCAGTAAATGTCGATTTCCTATTTTTTTCCTTGCAAATAGGCTAGTACAGCCAGGCAACAATGCTCTAACAATGCTGCCATTAAAGTGTTAAAAACAATAGCATTTGGTTAAATTTCCCTACTGTTTCTTTTTGGGTGAGGGTGCAGTAACGTGGTCAGGCATCAGCATCTAAACTGCTTTTCTGGTGAGGAGTGTGGTTTTCAAAGAGTGGATTAACCCTCTTGTTGAGTCAACAGGTATCTAGCATAATGGGGCAGACCAAACTCCATAGCTATGTATGCAACCAGTGTGGTGATGACATGGTATCACTGAGTGGAGGGCTTTCTAGACTGAAATGAACAGAGAGTTTCCCCTCATAGAATCTATGCCCACAAGTCCATGACCAAGGGAAACATTAAATACATAGTAATGCATGAATGAATACTTTTCTGGCTTTTAACCTATATATGTGGAGGTAGTGGATCAGGTGCTCAGATATGCAGCAACTCTAAGATATCTGGTCAATCATGAGTGACTTGAAGAATAGAAAAGAGATGAAGTTGTTTTTGAGTTTATTTGCTAAACAATGAAAAGCTGATAAAACTTGAATTAAAAATAACATGTTAATTTACTTGATAAAACTTTATTTTTATTTCAGATCATTCGCCATGGAGATCACTGAAGGAAATATGATTACCCTGGCTAACTACTTACAGGAAACTTTGAATCCAGATGTTGCAAAAAGACGGAAAGGTTAGTATCTGCTTTTCTGTGATACCTTGACTAATTTCATCTAAAAACTTTTGTAAATTACTTGCATAAGTTTAGAGAAAGTGGATTGCTTCAAAAACAGCTGATCTCCTCCTTCCCTTATAATGGATAAGCAAAATTTTGGCCATAACGTTTATTGTTACTGTTAAAATTCATAAGAATAAGCATGATGAAATATAAATTAACCTTTTGTCTTTGATTTACTTAATGAAAAAGTCTTTGATTACTAACAATCACATTTTTTTTCATGAGATTACCTACTGTTACCTGGATTAAATAAAATGGGAAGAATGTCAGAGCATTTATGGGTTTGGGTAGAACTGAGAGCTTTATGACAATCCATAGTTTGGAGGCTGTATTTGTATGCATGTCTAGGTTCTAATACTCTATCTATGGTCGCAACTTCATTGAGATCTAAGATTTCTGGCTGTTTTTTGTGTGAATGGAGAGCTGAGTAGATGTCACTACCAGAATGTAAGATTCTCAAAATTATATGCTGATATAATTCTGGGACAATACTTTATGAAACATCAGAGCATCTGTGTAAATTTTGGTGGGGAAAGCACTTCATAAAATGTATTGTCTACTTTTTCAGTTTTTCCCCTTGATTTTTTTGATACTTTTACTAATGATTGTAGGTAGCCCAGTTAGTTACTCGGGAAATATAACTTTCCAGATAAACACTTTATTATGGCTGAAATGAAAAATTTATTTGCAGAAGTGATAATTTAACAATGTATTTCCTCTGGGCAATCTTAAGTTGTAGTGACCCCCAATGAGGAACACAAGAAAAGAATGATAGTTGATTATTGTCAGATTGTGAACCATTTCACACTATTAGATACTTACCTGCTATCAAAGATGGGCAAACTAGTGAACACTTTGGCACAATATCGATTCTTTAGCACAGTTGGCTTGAGATCTTTGGATTATAAAATTCCATTATTTGCAGACAGCACATGAGCAAATTAATCATTGGAAACTCTTTTCAGCACATTTTCTTGCCTGGATAATAATATAAATAGGACATATTTTCATAGGAAAAGTCTGAAAGAACATAGCATTGATCTTCTGAGTTATATTGATCCCGAAAAATGTCAGTCACTAAAGAGCTTCTTCTTCCTTAGGGTACAAATGCACTATGCCATTCTGTAGGTATGGTCTCGTACCATTCTCATCAGATTGTTAAATACTGAGATGATTGCTTCACTCATACAAATTAAGACATTTCTGCTATTTAAAGTGGCTGAAAAGGCATTCAAACACTTAAAGACTGAAATGTAGTGTGACACTAGTGCATTCTATTGGTGAAACCATTCCATTTTATCACCCTATTGCTGGCATCTGAAATGGAATTTGACCACTAGCTTTCTTTTCTAAGATATTAAATGCTAGTGAAGAAAGATACTCGACAATAAAACAAATGCAGACACAACTGGATGCCACTTTATTCTTTTTCCTGGGCAGAAATCATTGGCATTCATATTTGATTCTAAGCAGTCTAGTCAAATTAAGAATGATAACCCTGGCATTCAACTTGCAGTGTTTGTGTACTACGCATTGAGAGCTTCTTCAATAGAAAGTATTGCATTCAATAGGCGATTTGGTGTTGGGCTTCTGCCGCATTCAGAATGGCCAAGAGAATCCTGGTTAGTTTTATATCCTCCACTTCAACAGGTCTTGTTTTTCTAAATATCAAAAACAAAAACATACTCAGTAATAGAACATTAGGTCTATGCTATAATGGAGGCCATGCACAAGTGCAGACACAACTGGATGCCATTTTCCTCTTCTTACTGAGCAGAAATCAATGGCATTTATATTTGATTCTAAGCAGTCTAGTCAAATTAATAATAATAAAATTTACAGATGGAGGGTTGAGTTTTGACAAAGTATCACCCTAAGAGGGATAATATTACTTCAGATATTTTGTCTAGGACATATTGTTCAATTTCAATGTCAGTTTCAATGTACGACTCTTTATCTTCCACGTGTCATATGAATGTTGTACTTTATTAGAACAACAAATCTAACACTGTTGAGGTTGAGAATGTAAAAAAAAAAAAAAATGTTTTAACCCAGTGTAAGAAATTTGTTCAAGGTAACAGTAATACTTAGGAGACTCTGGTGTTGATTGTTAAGGGTCCTTTGCCAATCAACTGATACTTATTTACTATAATACACAAGTTTTTTTCTCTCTCTCTCTCTTTTCTTTTGATTGTTCAGATGTAACATCTTCAACAGTGACCCATTGCTTCAACCAGTTTTATTTGATGTACACATATTCATGTCTTACCACAGTGATACTTCATTTATATATCACTGAATGTAAAACTGTTTAAAAAGCTATGAAATTTCCACTAGACAGACCACCTGTTATAATCCCCAAGGCAATAGGAAGTGTGAATCTTATAATGGAATTATATGGCAGGCAGCAACCTTGACCCTCACATCACAATGCTTGCTTATGACCTGTGAAATGTCATGTCAGACAAAGTCTGATACAATTATTGAAGAAGTGTAATTTCTCTTTATATCCATATTTATTGTTGTAATGGCAAAGAGACAACAGTAAGATTTAACCCCAGCAGATCATTTCTGTAATAGCCTGTCTAAAAATCAGGATCTAGTCCTAACTCCTGGTAATCTAAATGAATCAAATAACAATATTGGTCATGAAGATTCTGTAACATTATCATTGTATGTTACATGTGAGTAAATCTCTCATGCATAACATTACTATTTCTTCAATTTAAGACTTTGTCAGTTACCATCAACCAGTGGGTATGTGGTCCTGGAGCCTTTTTTGAATGTAGACTCTACATTCTTGTGTAGATGTAAGAGACTGTCCTCTTTAGGGGGTGGGTGTTTATATATCTGTTTGTAATGTTTTTTTTTGTTTTCCCCACACCTGCACAAACCAAGTGCAGCAAGGTCAGTCACATTCACATATTGTGGCAGTCAGTGACATTGAGTGAAGTACGGATCCTCACTCCTAGCCAACAGGTCACCCCTTCAGTCAACCCTAATCCTGGCTTCTTTGATGGCCTGGTGTGACACTGAGTGTAAAGTCTATTCTGTTATATACCATATACTGCAATTCCAACCAAAGCTCAGTGTAGAATGGAGCTCACCTTATTGCTCCTGTGTGCAAGGTATTGATTCCTTGTGTGAAAAATACTTATCTTGATAATCAAGCATCATTACATGGATTTTTGTGTGTGTATGTAACCCACCTGCCTGAATTTAAGATTTTAGTGATGTATTGCTATACTTGGTTTATTCTTTATACATACTAAGCTTTGTGTGTGTGTTTTAATTTCATGTTGAAAATGTTATTTAGCAAGGGAGAGTGGTAGTTTTTGTTATGCACTCTTCCATATTGTAATGACATTTATGGTTATACAACTTTGCTACTTTCTTGTATGAAATCAAAGGACTTTATTTCTTATTGAAAGACTCCAATGATTGCTGTTGTGTGTATTAGAGTTTGTTGAATAAAATCTAAGAAATAGAAATGAATTCTACTACATCAGTCAAAAAAAAAAAAAAAAGAGTCAGGATATATTTGATGTTAATAGGCTATTTTGTTTTTTAGCACCTTTCCATAGCCTTAGGTCAGATAAAGTTCTGTCAAAATAGATACCAATATTCAACCATGTTTTAATAGTTGCTCTCTAAAGTATTTGATCTTTTTTATCTTAATTCTTTGGAAGTCTTGATAAAATTCACAGCTGTGATTCTAGATCATTGGAAGTAGAAATACACAGAGATCTCTTAAGTTTAGTGCCTGTATATTTTGTTTAGAGTTATTTACTTGTATATTAATTAGTCTGTCTCTCTCTCTTTTTCAAGCTGAGAAGTTCCTGGAGTCAATTGAAGTGAATCAAAATTATCCTTTATTATTGCTGAAACTTTTGGAAAATCCAATTGATACAAACATTCGTCTCAGTGCAGCAATTACATTCAAGAATTATGTGAAAAGGAATTGGAAACAGGTAAGTAGTTGCACATTGTACTGCAGCTGCTGCTGCTCACCTGATTTTTAGAACAAGCACATCTTGGGTACAATTGTTTTAGGAATAATTTGCAACAATTATTTCTTTCTTTGGAAACTTGCTTTACATCTTAACAAAGTCACGTACTTGACTATTCTTCTTCCCACTCGGCCCCTTTTTCAATAATCATAATAGGATTTATGAAATTAAAAAAAATATATATATATATTTTTCTTTTCTGCTGGGAAAGACAAGAGAGATGGCTCTCTCCTTCATCCTTTCTTTAACAAGAAAGGTTATCACATGTAATTCCCAAATATTACTCATGTAACATGAAAAGATAGAAGCAGCAGCCTAAGCTAACTGTATTTGTTATATTGTTAGACATTGTCATTCCAGAAATGATAGAACATAAAGTTGGGATAACTGGTTTGGTTTTGGGAATGATGGCAGGATGATGAAAAAAATTTTAATTAAAATTCTAGTATATTTATTTTAAAGCAATTAATTTTAAAAAAAATAAAAAATTGACAATCATGGCAAGCCTTTAATGGTGCATATATTCATACATAGACCAAAAAAAACTGGTGAGTGAAACCTGAATGAAAAATGAAGGATTTAGATATTTGTATTATTTTATCTTGAAATGGGAAAAACATTAGGATCTAATTATAAGAACTAATTTTGATTTTAATAAACAAAAGCAAGAAAATAAAATTTTTTTCTGTCAATTATTGCTTGACTGAACAATTAAATATGTTCACCTTATAAACTAAATTGAAAACACAAAGAATTTAAAAAATGATAAACAGAAAACTTACTACACAAGGCAGATAATTGTAAATGAAAATTTTTTTTTGATAAAGACTTTGAAACTGTTTTGATTGTGAATAATTGGAATATGCTATTACTTATATAGAAACTGAATGCATAAAAGACAACTCTTAAAATACAATAAAAATTACTTTGAGCATAAATATTAATAAGAACATTTTCATGTAAAATTATTCAAGTTGATTTAAGCGTAATGTTTAAAGAAAGCTAGCTATAATTTTTATAAAAAAAATTGCATTAAAATTGAACTATTATTTTTGTATTTATTCATTTTTAAATTTATTTCCTAAACATTGTAATGATGTTTTTTATTGTGGTACTAACGACTATAAATGATAACAAAGTTAAAAAAAACCCCAAAAAGCAAAGAAATTTGATTTAGGGATAGTTAAAAAAAAAAATTTTATGTACAAAGTTATTTTTGGGACAACTCATTCTTGGATGATACTGTCAAATTGGTAGTCTGCTGTCCTGATTTGTTATAATAAAGATGAAAAAATCTGCCAGCATCCATATCTCTATCTAGGATACAAGATTGTGAGAGGCAATAAAAGAACAAAAGTTGAACAACACTAGTTTGCATGATTTGAAGGAACTTTGGCAAAGTTTCAGCTTTCCTCTAACTTAATACTGCTTAAACATTTTGTAACCCTGGGAGAATCCTTGAAATAAATTCCATATCTCAGGGAAACCCTACATAAAATTCTTACATGTCTTTATTAATATTTTTCCTTCTCATAGTTCTGGGCAAATAGAAGTTTATATTTATTCACAATATTTAAAAGGCTGAAGATAAATGAAGCTAATGTCATTTTTAAAGTCAATTTAGATAATGAAATTTGCTTCTCTAAGGAGAAATTTCTGCTCATCTTTTGGTAAACAAATATTTATTTTACCATCAAACTCTCAATTGCACAGATGGATTTCATCTTCAACTGAAAGGAGATTATTCCTGTTTTTGCTCTTAATAATTGTTTATTAAGAAAAACTTGTTTACACACATAAGAAGTTGAAACCTTCAGCAAGATCTTTATTACTTTTCTATGAATGGTAGAATACTTGTCTTTCATAGAAACCCAGAACTTACCCAAGAAACTGGTCAGTAAATCTTGAGTGTATAATCAAACTCTATCTGACAATTTTATTGAAGTCCATTTCTCAGGAAAAGCAGAAGATTCCAAATCTGCTTCCCTTACTTAATCATACATTTCTGTCAAGAGGAATGGAAAATAATGTTCTCTTTTGATCATCAATTCTTCTAGGTGGGATCTGTCAAGAGGAAATGAATATGCATTTATTGTTAAAGTTGTCAGATTACTTTACAAATAAAATTAACAAAAGCAAAAAAGTAAGAAAATAATGTTAGTCCTAAATAAAATATTTAATATTCAATTCTGTTGTGTTGTAAATAAGAGAATATGTTGAACAAGGTTCAGTAAATTGAAACTAATCCTGGGCTGTTAATTTATATCAGCCTTTGATTTAATAGGCCAAGTGATGAGGGTGTAAGAAGGAATAAAAGTTTGGTGGGGGTGGGGTATACAGTTGATGCTTGTCTTTGGACTTGAAAAAGCACATCAGACTAATTTTACAAATTCAGATTAGACAACAAGAGTGATTTTGATGACATCCTATACACTTTTCTGGCTTAACACTGGCTTGAATTAAGATTGGATTTGGAGCACAAAATGAGATGGCAATTCCAGAATCTCTAACTTTGAAAATGTTGCAGATTTCCTGGTAGCATCATGAAATGGATTACTGCTCTTTATTTAAATTCTCTCTCTCTCTCTCAAAGTCACATCTTGGAATGTTTCTTATTTCTCCATTAATACCTTTGAGAATATATAGGCATTAGTGTATAATAAAATGATGAATATGAAATGAAACACAAGAATAATTCAAAAAGTGTATTTTGCATAGAATTTGACTATTTCTCATAGTGACCTCTTGAAGAACCGATATGTGAAACACTGCTTTATTATATCAACAGATTACAGCCACTTATTAAATGTTTAAGTATAAATTGAGGATATACTGAAAAATATTGTTTAATATTACTGGAACATTTTTATAGACATTGGGAAGTATGTATTTGTTCATAAAATTATAATCTCTCATTTATTCAAGATAAAATATTCAGTGTTTGGTGGTCTTGAAAGTTTAAAATCTGTAGAGCAATGTAATCATATTGGAGTGGCAATTGGCTGTATGAATGTTGTAACTGAATCTTAGAGCATTATTTACATCATTCGGACTATTGTCCTCATCTTTGTCGCCATATTTATTACAGTGTTTCAGCTGTTGTATACTTCGGTCTTCTTCTGGTTGGAATGTTGAACTGAACCCTTTATTTTGCTCACTGGTGACAAAGATGTGGATAATAGTGCGAATAATGTAAATAATGTACATAATACCTCATCTCAGAAATATAGACAGATACTGAATCTTAGAGGGCTGACACCTTGAATCATGTGAGACATCACTTTTAGTAATGATAGCGGTGTGTAGATGATATGGGAAAGGTTGAAATTTTGGTCTTTTGATAAATGAGAGAACAAATTCATAGCAATTCAATTTTTTTTTACCTAAAAAAAATGTGGTGAAAGAGATAATCAGTTCCCTTGAAAAAGAGTCGTGTGCGATCTGCTGAAGAAAGATTACCAAAAGTAGTTAGCAAGAATCCACTACTTTAAGAATCTATACTAATGTTCTTTTCTCCACTGAATGATGTGGCCAATCAGAAAACTCTCTTTGTGAATAAAAGCCGTTGTTTTATGCTTACGAGAGTAGGATTGTTTTTGATTTTGATGGACGAACATGCATTTTTGCTGCTGAGTAGTGAAGGTTGGTTTTGTGACCACATTTTGTCATTTTTATGTTGCCTGTTGGACTGTTACAATCAACTATTGTTTGAACTGTGATTTGGCTGCAAGTGTTGCGGTCAAGAGACAGAAGAAACTTGTTGCAGGCGTTTATTGCTACTATAGTTTAGTTTCTTTTTTTTTTTTTTTTTTTTTTTTTACTAAAATGAAAACAGTAAAAAGCAATTATTGGAAAATTTGACACACATGGGACATATTGGAAGCAAGATGGACAGAGGAAAACAACACATGACCCACCGTTTATGAATTTGTGTAAATGGCTTAGAGAACAGTGTTTAGGAAAGATAGCAAGAAGACATAATTTACTAAAGGACAGGAAATTGTGGAGAGCCATGATCACCATGTCCTGAAGGGGTATGACATAAGAAGATAGAATGTTTAAAACTAGTAACTAATATATTTAGTTAAGTCTTCTATTGTTTCTCTTAGGCTGGTAATATTTCTTTTAGATAAAGTGCCAGCATCAAAGTCTATCCATTATTTTAAATGATACCAAACAAACCACAATGTTTGTTTTGTTTTTTAATAGGTGGAAGATCTCCCAGACAAAATCCATCCACAAGATCGATTAGAAATAAAGAAAAATATTGTTAAATTAATGCTGAGCATGCCTGAGCAAGTCCAAAATCAAGTAAGTTTTGTGCATTTTTTTTTTAAAAAAATTTTTATTTTTATTGATTAATTTTTTATTTTTTTTTTAATTTGGAATGAAAACTCTTTTTAATATGTATTACAAATATCTTGCTTAACCATAGTTAGTTTATTATCTTTTGATAAAGACTTAGTTACTATGTGTTGGTTCCAACGCAATCCAATTTATATGAAGGTGTCAGTAAGGAAAATAAAATTTTATCAAATAAAGTATGCCACACTATTTCTTTATTTTTGGAAATCTGAGTATAATTACACTTTTCATACCTGATTATGTATCCATGTGTCTATAAATTGTCATATTATTTGCTTCATTGGTCTCTTGATATTGTATAACATAATGCAATTGTTGTAATGACGGCAAACAATGCTGAACATCATCTTGGAAGAAGCTTAATTTTTGCCTTTTTATTTGTTTTATGTGACAGAATTAAATGATCATTTCTTTCTGGTGGAATTAAAAATTATTTAAATTCTTATTTCTCATAAATGGAAATGTTACTGAAGTAAAGTTTTTATCTGTTCTTCTGTAAGTTTTTAATGCTTTCTCTTTTGGCTGTAGTTGAGTGATGCAATTAGTATCATTGGTCGAGAAGACTTTCCAGAAAAATGGCCAGATTTAATCAGGGAAATGGTCAATCAACTGAGCAGCAATGATTTTGGTTTGGTAAATGGCATTCTTAGAACGGCCCATTCTTTATTTAAAAGGTATGCTTGACAATATTCACTTGTAGCTCTTTTGCAACTTTGTTCAATTTGGAAAGTTACCATTCAGTCACAATGTCACATTATTCATTTACCATATTTGATCGTGTATAAGATGTTTCCTGCCTCTTAACAATTGTTAAAAATTTGCCCTTCATCCTATATAAAAAATTTGAGGCTGCCCAGAGATACTAATTTTATTCCTAATGCTCACTATTGTAGGCTATAATTTTTCCTCAGATCTAACCTGTCTTTATAATAATATTTATTGAAGTGAAACTACTACTACTGGTATAGTAACAAGTATTATCATAACCAAGTACTGGCTGGCAATGTTTGTATCAGTTAATCTATCATGTCTAAATGTCCACAAAAAGAAAAAAAAAACTTCTTTAGTTCTGGTTGTATGTATTAGTTGTCTGTTATATATATATATATATATATATATATATATATAAAATACAGTTCATGTAGTCCTTGTCTGAATGACTGGATATTAACAATTAACATACTTTCGATTTAAAACAGGGTTGCCAACTCAGAAAAAGATTTGTAGCTAAGCACTATACCAAAAGTCATTAAAAGTAGCTAAAATGATTTTTTAAAAAGCATCAAAAAAGTAGCTAAATACAAGAAAACAAAAAATTAACCTTAGATTAAAGTGGTTGAAAATTTATTCTAGCATCATTGTCGGTTCCTCTCTAAATTCATTAAAAAAAAAAAAAAATTTTCTCAAGTAGTTTGTTAAAGCTAATAAACAAAAATAAAAACAATGGACCATTTTGAAGTAGGAACAGATTTTCCCTTACTCACAGCATCTATCTTCTATATAAATAAAATGCAGTGTATGTGTCTATCAATCTGTTTTTCAATTTTAGCAAATCATAAACAACCTGAGTAACAGGCAGTAACTACTGTAGTTACATGCAATTAAAAATTAAATAACTCATTTAAAGTTAAATTTAAATATTGGACAGAGTGAAAGGGTTAAAAAAAAAAAAACAACTTTCTTAAAGATTTGACATTAATTTTGCTTTTCATTGCAGTTGCAATTGATATTAAAATTTAAACAATGAACGGTATGTTGATCATAGGGTTTTTTTTTTTTTTCTAGCACATGTACTGTGATGTATTCAAAATATTACATAGTTCAGGTTCTCTAATGTTTTTTAAGTGTGACTTTATGTGAAAGGATCATAAAGAATAATGATTTTTAAAGAAAAAATTGTGTGCAAAATAAATGTAAACAAACTATGAAGATTGGTTGCATATATCAATAAAGATAAAATAATTTTATTGTTTCTAAATTTTTATAACTTTTATGTACATACGATACTGAAGGTAAAAGGACAAAGACCCAAAAGCCCACTGAAGGAGCTAGCCGAAAGTTGGCTTCTAGGCTAGTTACAAATAATCACATCTTCATGTAAACTAAATGAGAGCTGTCAATATATATTCAAGAAACAAAAGCTGGATGCAAAATTTGGTTATTTAATAATTAAAAATTCATTATTAAACTTATAAAATTTGAAAATTGCTAAAATGTAGGTGAACTTGTTTGAAAATCTCTATGAAATAAAATTTCACTCAATTCTTTACTCTAAATTGGCAACCCTGATTAAAATAAAAAAAACAAAAAAAAAACATGTAACAAAGAGTATCTTGTCTTTTATAGACCAGATCACTTTTACTGCTGATATTTTACAGTGAATATTTAGTTTTGAAAGCTTCAGATTATCATCTTTAGTTTCAGGGCTTATGGTTTCTTAGTAAAGAAAAAGCTAACTTTTCTTCATCAGCCATTTATAATAATTTTTAAGAAAAATTGAGGTTGAATATTTTGAATATCTTCAGTTCATATACTTAAAAAAAAAAATGTCATGCGAATTTCATACACACAAATAAAATGCAATAATGGTGTTTTTTTTTTTTTTTTTTTTTTTTTTTTTTTTTTCTGCTGACTTGTGTGTAAGGGTCTTAATTGTTTAATGTTGGGACAGATTCAAAATACACACATACACACACATTATATATATATATATGTGTGTGTGTGAAAAGTGTATATGTATATATATATATATATATATATATATATATATATGCACGGTACTTATTAGAAAGTGCTCAATATCAGAGATAGAGCTAACATATTTGGTTGGATAGATGTGAGTTTGTGACCCTGGGTTTCACGCTTTAGCGATCATCAGACAAACTGATTAAATTTTTTTTTAAAATTTGGGTTTATGTAGATTGTGTGTATTGGTGTTATTGTGGAAATGGTGGGGGAAACTTCGTCATTTTGTCATCGTACTAACGCAAACATCGATGTATGCAGACACATACATACTTGGTTGTCCATCAAGACTCATACATATATAAACATGTGGGCAGTTTCGGATATGACATATGTATATGGGTGGTGTTGTGCCTATACATACGCATTTGTATGTTGAAATTTAAAGATTGGAAGTGTGGCGGAAATGTCTTGTGAATGTATACATGTCATATTATTTATTTTTCTGCTGAATAATATTTCCTCGCATGTATGTATATATATGTGTGTGGTGGGGTTTGTGTAAAATTATGATAGGTAAAAATATTATTATTTACCCAGGGTCACAAACTCACATCTATCCAACCAAATATATATATATATATATATATATATATATATAATGAGATTAAAATGAAAGGTGGTTGATGAAATTTAGAGGGTAAAAAACCAATGAAATAATACCAATATTGTCAATAAAACTGTTTATTGTATATCAGCCTTTTGATTGAAACAAAGCACAAAGAGATAAGCTTTTAAAGTTGGAATTTTTAAACACACCTGTTTTTTTTTTTTTTTTTTCCCAAATGATGTAAGGAATGAACAAAGTGGAAGTTGTACTTAGTAAACCCAAATCCCTATTTAATCCCTCAATGTTTGAAAATTTCAACTCTGATCTATGTCTCTCCTCATGGCTGTTGAATGAGGACACTAAAAGCATGCATCAGATGTCCTCTGTGTTATGATCTGGTAGGTTGGTATGTTTTGCGACTGGGAAAATATTGCTATTGTTCATGAAGGTTTTCTTATGGTAAAATCAACGTCGGAATTCTGTATTTGTTTCGCCCACATAGTTACCTTGTTGGCACTTGTGGCAGAAAAGCAAATATACTAAGATCACAATTTAAACCTGATGGTTTGAATACTATTGGTGTACTGGGGGAGTGAAACTGTTATCAGTAATGATATATCTGTAGACTTGGCATCGAGGTTTATTGTCGTATTCCCTTGGTGAGGTGGTGAAAGAAGTATACTGGATGTGTTTAAGAATGTGTGGAGGTTAGGGTTCTGGTGCCTGATGGGGGTGGTTCATTGAATATTTTTCTAATTGTCTGGTCAAGTTTTAAATACTGGAAATCTTTTAAAATATGGAAAAGCTTGTGAATGTAATTGAAATAAAAAAACAAAAAACATGGTAATTCTGGAATTATTCTTTTTTGTTACGTCGGTTAGAAGTGTATTTTGTTTAGAAGCCTTAGTAATTGATTTTTTTTTTTTTTTTTTTTTTTTTTATAGTTTTAAGTGGGTAATTCCTGTTAGTACAATTATTCAATCACTTGTGTGTACTTCATAATCCCTATTCTGTGAACAGATATGCTTTTTGTGTAGACATTGGCTGTATATTGATTTATTTTTGGTTGGTGGGGGTGGCAGCTATTGAAATTTAAGTAGCAATGACCATTTGTGGGCTTGATGTATAGTGTGGTGGAGATGTGGGTGGTTGGTTGGTTGTGTATGCGTGTGTATGTATATATATATATATATATATAATTTTCCCAAGCACTTTCATATATATATATATATATATATATATATATATAATTTTCTCAAGCACTTTCAAATGTTGCTACATTCTTTTTCAAGGATTATTCTGTGTATGTTTACACAAGTCTGGCATTCTCATGTTTGTTGGAACCAATTTCAAGTTGCTCAGATGACATGACCTATAAATAGTCATTGACATTTTTTTTTAAACATGCTTCAATGTATGGTCCCCTATGGAGAAAGATACCTGTCTGCTCCTCTTTTATTACACCAGCCTCCAAAATTGGGAGTCTTTTTTTGCACAGAGTCCTATATAAATTTTTGGTGTTATCTATTAAAATTTGTTTTATGTTTATACTATTTTGCTTATTTGTCATATGTTCATCTATATGTGCACAAATTGTACTAAATTTTGACAAATGCCAAGTTAACCAATGAGACAGTGTGGCACATGTATGGCCAATGTAAGAATTTGATGTTGCTTGTTGATTGTTACAATATCCCAAGTATAAAAATAAGACAAATTTTAGTAAATAACATCAAAATTTTATATAAGACATAGTGCAAAGAAAGACTCCAAATTTCAGAGGTTTTTGCAATAAGAGAAGACAATATTAAATAAAGTATCTTTCTCTATAGGTGTGTGTATATTGGAGTTTGTTTGTTTGTTTTTTTTTGTTTTGTTTTTTTCTAATTCAGTTTGACCATTTATATGATGTCATATCACCTGAGTGACTTGAAATAGTTTCCATCAAACATAAGAATGTTGAAATTTAAAAAACAATTGTGTAAATATACAGGTTTCGTTAAAGACGACTGAGAAGGTACAGCAATTAAGCTTATTTAATTTTTCTTGTGTTCATACACATATTTCTGATCAAAACAAACTCCTAAATAATTACACCAGTCACACTGCTACATGCCTATCTAGATGACTTGTGTTACACCTATCCAGCCACAGCTCCATTGGAACTCATTCAAACACACACAAACTTACCAGGTTCCATCTGAAACATACTAGTAGAAGATACAAACATAATAACCTCATCCACATTTAAAAAAAAAAAAAAAATTAAATATAACGGAGGCCCTAATAATAAAAAAGAAAAATCCAACACTCAATAACATTAACTATGAACATGGCCACAATGTACTGACAGTGTTTGGAAAATAAAACATCCCTATAACTAGATACATACAACCCATACATTCAGTTAAAAAGTAAAAATAAAATCATCATCCTTGATCATGGCTCAAAGTAAAGCTGAAAGTGCTCGGAAATGCAGAACATTTGGAAAGTTTCTACACACTCTGTGTCCAGAAAAGAGAACACTTGTATGAACATGAGAAAAATTAATTAAAAAGCTTAATCGCAGTACCTAGTCAGTTGTTTTTAATGAAGCATATATAAAAGAGGGATTGCTGCTGATATATATATATATATATATACACACACACACACTTTTTTTTTTTTCTTTTTTTTTCTATACCATTTTTTTAATATAAAAAAAAATCCATCTAATTTTTAAAAAAAATATATTTTTCTAGGTATCGGCATGAATTCAAATCTCAACAACTTTGGACAGAAATCAAATTTGTCTTGGATCATTTTGCTGCTCACTTCACTCAACTTTTTATTGTAAGATTTTCACTTCTTTTTTTTTTTTTTTTCTTGTCAACTTTTTACATAAGGAAGTCTTGTTTGCACTGCTTATAATGTTTGTGATTTAACCAATAGCTTAATGGAATGAATTATTATATTTTGCATTCTTTCTGATAACTCCAGAAAATGAAAATCCTATATGTGCAGCTATAAGCATTGAATGTAATTTGGATTGTGGGGTTATCTTTTTAGTCTTGAGTTGTATATACAAATGAATTATAAATAAGATTATTACTTGCTTATCAGTTTGAAGGGAAAAAAAACTATCAAATTGTAAATACCTAAACAACTCTCACTGTTAGTGGGATTCTTATTCTTTCATACAAAGTAGCAAATTATAAGGAATTGTAATTTAATTCCTACTTTTTTTTTCTTTAATTTATTTAGTATATACACTGTATCTCACTTTATTAGACACTTTTTAATTTTTGCAAAGTAATGAAAGGACTCGCAGAAATATTTGCACCATTAATGTTAAGGATATTTCATATCCCATGTATAATTATAGTAAGACTGTCACTGTCATTCTTATGAGGTGTGACAAGTTTTATGAATTTTACCAGATTTCTTTTTTATTTATTTATTTATCACTATTTTCATGCTGAATGTTCAGATAAGCTACATTCAACGAATTCATACCTTTACAGCTAGGAGCCATCATGCCATATCCACAGGATCAAATCCTCATTCCCTTCATATTCCATAGGTAAGAAGGAAGTTCCCTTTAGTTTCTTCCTGAGAACCGATACTTTGTGGAACATTCCTTAAAGGATGCTTCCTTATCATTACAATTTTAACCTCTTCAAGTTTAGGGTCCACCACTATCTTACATATTTTCATAATCCACACAAAACTTCACTCAGTAAACCCTCTACCTTGAGCGGCTCCTGGGCTTTGTATTGTGGAAACATTCACTAAAAAAAACTTTCACATTATTAACCAAGTTACTGAAACTCAAAAAAAAAAAAAAAAAAATTGTTGTAATTAAAAATAATAATTATAGGTGTACAAAAAGTATACAAGGATAAATATTTTTAACAAAACAATTGAAAACAGGATCATTGTAATGATGTCATATTTTTATAACGACATTATTAGTGTGAAATGGATGTTCCATGTTCTGAAACTGGTTTTAAAAGTTTGTACAATGATTTTTGTGAGCTGTTGTTTTATTTCATATGAAATTGTTGTTCACCAATGCAAAGCTTTCTCTTCAGAATGCTCCAAGTTTTTAATTGGGTTACAGTCAGTCAGACAAGTAGGTCACTTCATTAAAGGAGTGTCTTTGAAACCAATTTTATTCAGAAATTCATTAGTTTTCTTTGCCAAATAATTTCATTAGTTTTTTTTTTTTTTTTTTTTTTGCCAGATAGGAATTGGGGTATTGTCATGTATAAGAATCTTTCTGAAAATATTTCACTTCAACCATGACTCCATATCAGTCTTCAAAAAAAAAAAAAAAAATTACAACTCAATTCATGTCTGAACTGTGATCTTAACATCTGAAGCACATTACTTTGTATCCTTATAATCCCCATCTCAAAGCATCATACCATCTTCTTGTTATGGTCTCATCATGTGACAGTGCCTTTTTGCTATTAGCCATCCAGTATTTGCTCCATCTGTTTTGCTAATCAAGATAGCATGGCATTGGTGAAAAGTAAGGTATAAAAAAAAAATCATGTATTATTGCTCATTTCATTCAATTTTCTTTTAAATGAGGCCTAGTGGTTGATTTGACATTTTTGCCACTTGATTTTGGACTTGATAATTATGCTTTTTGGATATTTACTCGTATGCCACAAAACTTGGCAAAGAACATGATACAGATTGATGTAGTAATATGTATATCCATCAAATCAACCTTACAACCCATTTTAAAGCTTCTAACTTGCAATGCGTCTAATTATTTTGAAACTTGTGAATTCAGGAAATTTCATCCAAATGCCTGCAATTTTTTTTTTAATGTGTGGATAGATGTTGCTATAATTTAAATAAACCTTAAGAGTCCAGTAAGTAAATATTTTATATTATTGATAAAACACAAAATAGCTAATAATGTGAGATGTTGTGTAGATTTATTTCAGCAAAGTAAAATGCATTTGTTTACTGATTTAATGCATAAAGAAATAACATTGAATAGATTTGATAATTACAGAGAATTTTTCCTTTTTTTTTTTTTTTTTTTTTTTTTTCTCAAAGATTGTTACATTATTTTTATAATCACATATTTTGTAACTTCAAAACTTGAAAAAAAAGTTTTTTTTTCTACTCTATAATAAAATGCAGTACTATCTAAAAGTTTGAGTAATTTGAACTTAAAAAATGACAACTTTAGCTCCTAGTTTTCCCCATTTTCTTCAGAGTATCCCATTGAGCCTATATAAAATATTTTCATTATAATGGGAAAACTTTGTTGAAATTTCCAAAACTTTTGAGTAATACTTCATTCTTTGGTTTTATTTTCAGTTTTTTTTTTAATAATTAGCTTTTTTTTCATTGCCCCAAAACTATTTCATGTAATTTCTACCAATATTAATGCATTGAAATGCTTATTTGTATTCTATTATATCTATAACAAAAAAAAAACATTTTTTATCTTTGGATAATTTCAGAAAACAATGCAGTTGGCTGAACAACATGGTAATGATCCTGCAGCCCTCAAAGTGATATTCAGCTCTATTGTTCTTATCTGTAAAATTTTTTACAGTCTTAATTACCAGGTATGGATTAGATGCAAAACTTTTTTAACAGTTGGGTATCTCTGCTGGACTAGATGACAGTGGGGTGGGATTGGTAAGCCATCTTCAGATTTGGCTTAGGCTATTGTATTCACTTTTTGCTTTAATGCTCTTGGAGAAAGACATGGATCCATCTCTTCTCCTCCACAGGTATGGATTAAATAGAATGGCTGAATGGGGCTCTTTAGCTTTGGGTGGCAGCTAGTCTAAGAGGAGGACTACACTGAATTCATAACCATAGAGACTGCAACATGAAACCATTTCATGGTCTTTCCCAAAAACTCATGGCAATTCACAGATAATAATGAAAAGGGAGATTGTGGCGAACCATGATCACTTATATCCTGAATTACATTAAAAATAAAATTATAGAAGTAAAAAAAAAAAAAATCTAGGAGGGAAGTTCATTTAGACCTCTTTTCTAGCTAAGTTTTTTTTTTTTTTTTTTTGCCGTCTCCTTTCAGAACATGGGTGATATTGGCTCAAATAGGGAGAGGATTTTTGCTTTGAAAATCACCATTCAAAAATCCTGCCACCAGTGATCAGTGGGGAAATACATAATTATCTCATCCACAAAGCAAACTTGGCACTATTTTATTGAACATTTCCTGCTAAGCATTTAACAGATTTTTATTCATGGCTTTGAACATTTTGTATCCTTGGCAGAAGAAACAAATAATTTAGCATTCTATTTACCAGTCACGCTGTAAGGTGACAGTAGTAAAGCAGTAGGGTTCAAGATAGCAGCTATTTATTGTAGGCTTATTAAGTACCTTTTTTTTTTTTTGTCTTTTTTTTTTTTTTTTGTCTTAAGAATTAAATTTCTTGATTAGTTCTTACCTTTAATTGTCAATCTTTGTTTTCCACTTCTTCTTAATTTGGGTTGCACACAGGTTTCAATATTTCCCCAAAACTTCTGGAATTTATCGTCTTCAAATTGGAGGTGTTTTTTGTTTTGCTTTTTTAATATATATTTTACAAGATAGCTTTTATGAAATTATTTCTGGTTTCCCTATCTTTGAAGGGACAATTGGCAATTATGTGCACTAATGTAAAAGCCAACCAATCTTCTAAGACCTTAGGGAGGAAAAAAAAAAAAAATTCTCCCCCCTCCCACGCACACACCTAAAAAAAAAAAAACTCTGAAAATGCATCAACTATCTACACTTTTATCACTGTTGTTTTGTGGAATTTTGTTTTGTCTGTCTTGAAAACTATACTTTCTATACCCCCCCTCCTCCAGTTACCTACCTTTTCATCTTGAATCCTGCTGCTTTCCTACTACCACATTACAGCATGTCCTGTAAACAGAACACTAGCCAACAAATGTTTATGATTTCAAGCATTTAATTTGTTGGTGATTCAGTGGTGAATGAGAGCAAAGTGGCTGGGTCAATAACTGGGGTATGCATTTGCCTGACAGTACAATGTTGTCTGTCTCATTGTCTTTGACACCCACTCACATCTGAGTGTCAGGATCATCATCCTCTCTCCTTACTCTTTTTCTCCCCTCTGGTGGCAGTGGAGATGACTGTGAAGGCCCAGCCTACTCCTGAAGACTTGCAAGCAGGAGTCACAGAAGAGTGTGGGTGGTGGACATGGCTGGGCAAGTTAGGCCCTCCTGACATATGTCCCATACATACAGATTCAAATATTTCTGCTCTTAATTGTCTTGTGAGAATTTATGCTCCCCTCCCAAACATCAGTGCATAGAAGGAATGGACACATGACTCAGACAAATATTAAAAATAATCAAAAACTATAAATATTTTTCATTGTCTTGATCCATTTTTTCTTAATGTCTATCAAAAATAACATCTTGTCTTTACCCTGACTAAGTCCTTTCATATTAGCTGACGAATTGAACCTTTAAAACATTTCTCTTGCTTGTGGCCTTTGGGAGTAATATTTAAATGTACTTAACACTATAGATTAACCTTAAATGGATTTTGTGCTCAGAATTGAAAAACTTTAAATGAAACATGCCTTTCCACCATAAGACCATGCAGGCTTTAATAGGAGTAAGAAAGTGTAAAAAGATAGATTAACACAGAGGAAAGTGGAAGCAAGGAGAACTGTAAACAGATTATCATAACTGATATGACGGATTCGCTTTCTCTTTTTTTTTTTTTTTTTTTTTTACAGCATAGCTGTGTTGCTCACCTTATATTTGACATATTTGCCAAGTAGACTGTTTTGTTTCCAATAAATAATCTAATAATGATTTATACATTTTTAATTTTCAATTGTTGCATTTTGTTCTGAAACCAATATTTCTTGGACAAAACTGATTTTGATTCTAAACCTCATTCTTGTTAAATGAACCATTCAACAAGAAAATGAACTGTCTAAGAATGATTTAAATAGCATGCTAATCAATATTCTTCATGGACTATTATCGGCACTGATGCATGCTATTTGTATTGAGTTAAGCCAATTTTAGCACAAGGCTATAGAGTCGTAGGAAACCCAGTGAAGACTGAACTCACTAATGATTACGCACAATCCTACAGTGATTCTATTAATCTAATGGATATATTTAATAATTGATAAAATATGTATTGTGTATTAAGATCCTTGGTGATATCATTTTAGTTTTTTGTATCAACCTATCCTTTTCATTTGATATTATTTCTTTCTAGGACATTCCTGAGCATTTTGAAGACAATATGGCTACCTGGATGTTTCATTTTAAAGCTCTGCTTCAAGTTGATAATAAACTGCTACAAACACAAGTAAGAACTGTTCATTTAGAAAACCTATTTCCTCATTGGTTTTGTGTTTATAAACTGAAACCTGGTCAATAATTAATTTTTCTATGTACTTAGTCGAGAGAAATGATGATAAAGAATTAAGTACAGAATAATTTACCATTTATTTTTAAGAGGCTGTTAATGAGAAGAACTTGTTAAATATAGTAATGTTTTTTATTTTTAAATTTCAATGTTGTCTTTATCTGCTTGTCCTTATTTTTTCTGTTGTACTTTTTCTGTCTAATGTGTATTGTCCATGTTTAGCAGCAAATTTGCTAGAGTGAAAGAGAAACCAGATGAAAAGAAAATTGGGAACATGTTCAGAAGTGATGGAAACTATGGTAGAAACTGATTGAGACCAGTAAAAGATGGGGGCTAATATGAATCATGAAGATGAGGGATTTTTCTTTTTTATTGCTTGACCAGTAAAAAAATTGCACATATTTGCAATAATCTATTCTATTTACCAGATTATACTGTTGATGACAACTATACAGGAGTCGTTGTTTCTCTGCTTACTCTCTTGTGATATAATGTCAAGTCTAATGAATACTGAAAATTCAAAAACTTGTTAAATCAAGAAATCAAAACTTTTAAATAGAATAAATTTATTATTTGCTGCAAATATTTTACAATAAGATTTTTCATCTGAAAAACTATAATAAATACGGTTATTTATTACAACTCACTTTTTAATTATTATTACTACACTGTTTACCGAACACACTTGAAATGAATTCTTGTCTATTTCAGGATGAAGATGAAGCAGGTGTGCTAGAACAAGTAAAATCACAAATTTGTGACAATGTGACACTTTATGCACAAAAATATGATGAAGAATTTTCTCCTCATCTACCAGATTTTGTGACAGCCATTTGGCATCTCCTTGTAACAACTGGACCTCAAGTCAAATATGATCTTGTAAGAAATTGTCTTTGCTTTTATAGTATCTTTCCTTATGTAAACTATAACTATGTGAAGATTTTTTTTTTTAATTTTCTGTAGATCAAACCCATATAACCATCACACACTCATTTGTACTTTTCCTGAAAATATTTACCAGAAAATAATTTTTAATCGTGTGATAGTCAGTTTGATAGGCTGTTTCATATTATTATTTTTAGTTGCTTCACCAAGGACTAACAGCAATTGATTGTCTCTCAATATGAAACATTTTATAGAGCATTTCCATCTGATGAGACTGGGCTTGGAACTATCTGACTCTTTACATACATTGCTTCAGCTCATCTACTTGCCATATTTGTAATATCTCATGAAAATGTAAATGAACAGACTTATTAGGACTGTTAAATGTTTATTCCAAACCACCCAGCTGTAAATTTTGTTGATATTTTTTTTTTTATTGTTTATGAGAAATAAAGTGAGTTTTCTGTTTGTATTTTGTGCAGTTGGTGAGCAATGCAATTCAATTCCTTGCCTCTGTAGCAGAAAGGCCAAACTATAAAGGTTTGTTTGAAGAATCTAACACACTGAGCAACATCTGCGAGAAAGTTATTGTTCCAAACATGCAGTTTAGAAGTAAGTACTAAATGTTTCAAATTTATTTCTAACAATTTCTATTTTTCACTGCTTAATTAAATCAAATATCTATAGAGTTTTCTTTGGATGTAAGAAAATTAAGTCATCATTCAATTTAAATATTAATTTCTTTGAGGCTAGTTTCTCCTATTTGGCTAAGAGTGAAGTAATGTATTTCCAGCTGGTGTTAAGATAAAAGGCCAGGATTTTAAGCTTCATTTTTTATGCAGGCCAACTCTCCCACTTTGGAAAATTGGTGCTGTGCAATCTTTCTGCCTTGAACAATTTAGACTTTATTGTCCCAAGCTTTTGCTAAATGAGTATCATTTTTTATATTGCTTTACATGATTACATCAGTACATTACGCACTATACATCTGTCCTGCAATAATTGTTAGAATTACATTCAGATTTCATGTATTAAATATAACATATTATGGGTTGTATGTAGAGGTCGTATTTTGTTTGATGGCTGCTACCTTTACAGTATTTCTTCTAAGTGTTGTTTGAAAAATCATTTAGTAAATTTTTTTTTTTTTTTTTTTTTTTTTTTTTTAACAACTAAAATCTTTTCTGCTTCACACTTAAACTTTTGTATGCTCCAGGTTTTTAAAAATACTTTCATTTTTTTTTTTTTTCTCCTTATTTTGTGTAAAGTGATATAAAACAAAGTCTATGGTCATAATAAATTCACACTGCTATGTAAGCATCTATATCAATTGAGAAAATAATTTAATGCTGAAAACTTAACTTATTTTTATAGCTGCTGATGAAGAATTATTTGAAGACAACCCAGAAGAATACATTCGGAGAGATATTGAAGGTTCTGGTTAGTATCTCGATGATTTTTTTTTTTTCCTCCTTTCCTCAAAACATTCTTTACAAATACTAAAGTCTCAAGGACTACATTATTCTTGTTTCACTAACAAGCAAATAAAATGATTCCTTAAAGAACTTTATTTAATTAAGCAATTGCTTACAAGATTTTTTTTTTTTCCTCCTCCCCAGATATTGATACCCGTAGACGTTCTGCTTGTGACTTAGTACAAGCTTTATGCAAAATATTTGAAGGTCCGGTCATCCAGAACTTTTCCCAATATGTCCATGGCTTGCTGCAGGTTTGTAACAATATTTCACTGACAATTTCTCTTTTTAAACCAATTCATTGTTTTCTATGCATTTATTTTATATTTTGTCTCTTAGCATGTTCAATCCTGTTTTAATATTTTGACATTAGTGGTTTATTTCTTTTTTTTTTTTTTTTTTTATACAATGTTTTTTACAAAACAGCAATTGGAAGAATTTTCTCTTCCTTTTAGTGAATCATTTGACCACCGTCAATTTTCTCTCTTCTTTTTGTGGTGGGAAATCTATGACAACCTGTTTCATCGTCTAAAAGAACTTCATCAGACTAAACTAATGTTCTTATTGTTGGAATTATGTGTAGAGGAAGGGAAATATATAAACAATTAATTTCCATTGATTTTAAATATCCCACACTGACAACAGAAGATTTAAGAAAGTTAAAATGTTGCGAGTATAAATTTACTGTGGCAGACTTAGAAATCAATGTACTTTCTATACATTTTCTTCTTAGTTACTTTCTCTTTTAATTAAATGCAGCATTTTTTAAATTATGGTCAGATTCATTACAATGAACAACTAAAACATTGAGTGTTTTTTGTAAAAGATCTCTTTTATATTCATTTAATCTTCAAAGTTTCTCCTATGTATTTCTTGTGGCAATCATTACAGGCTATAGAGTAAATTCCTGCATCAGGTTTTAGGTTATTTTGTTTTGCATTAATTCTTTTATTGTTTTAGAAGCAGTCGTAACAAATTACATATTAAGTTTAGATAAATTCTCTTTTTTGTTCTTTAGGCACAGGCAATCATAACTCTCCACAAAGACCTTTTCTCCACATTTTTGAATTCATAGACTGGTTGCCACTCAAGGTTAGGGAACCCAGTCTATACCCTACAATTTAACCCATAGTTAATGGGTGGAAAATGAAATGGATTTGTGTCTTTCCCAAAGGCTGAGTGTGAAGCTTTTCACAATTTTGCATTAGTGTTTCTTCTGTGATCTATAATTATCACCTCTTTTAAGCTCATCCTCATTCACAAAAAGCAGCTGCCCTGTTCCTAAGGTCAGTTTCTCCATTCTCTCTAGGATTGCATTTAACTCTACTGACTTGCCATTTTTCTATGCTTATATTAAATACAGGTTTTCCATAAACATTCACTAACTTCATGTGAATGTTTGCAGCACTTTTCTCCTTTTAAAAACAAGAACTCTTTGTTTTCTATATGCGTCAAGAGAAACAGCTATATTGAAAGAGGATTATGGATAGGAAAGAAGCTGAAATTTCACAAATTTTTCCCCTAGGACTTAACATAAAACATAGTGTATAGCTAATAACAACTAGGAATTGCAATTTTTAAAATGATGTAATAAATCATTACTTTTTGACATAGTTTTGAAAATTAAGAAATGGTAAATTCATGTAAACCAAATTCTATGATGAAAACCCTTTCCAGTCTTAGATTTGTCTATTTTTAAAAGGTAAAAGTTAATTTTTTTTTTTTTTTCTCCAGCAATATTCAGAGAACCCCACAGGCAATTGGAAATGTAAAGACACAGCAATTTATTTGGTGACATCTTTAGTGTCTAAAGGGCGCACACAGAAGGTAACAGTTATTCTTTTTGGTGTATTTCTTTATTCCAGTAAGATTATTGTACCAGCATAAAGTGAATATGAAATCTGTGTGTAAGACTTGTATACTTATTTCCCATGTTGCCAAATGTCATTATATGATACACAATACATATATTTCAATTTGGATGTAATGTTCTCAAGTATCAGGATTTGGTTAACATTTTTGTCTATTATGCTTATAACATTTAGTTACTAATAATGAACAAGATTATTGAAAGAACTTTAACCAAAAAAATTGAACTTTATACAGTTTATTCACAATTCTATTCTAGCTCTACAACTGATGTGGAAATTGGTAAAATAATAATATTAAAAAAAAAAATACTGACATTGTTAGTTAATAATTCACAACAGTGCCACACACTGATCATCATCATCCCAGGCTGTGTTACTATCAATAAGTCACCTTGTCAAATCTACCATAGTAACATTCAAATCCAGGTCTTATAACTGGTATATTTTAATGACTTGGTCATGTCAACATACAACTTGAGTGAATTTTTGCTCCCTAAATATACAAAATATATATATAGTATAAAATGTGTCAGGGAAGAATTCTCAATATCAGAGATAAAGCATTTGTAGATATATAGTTAGAATATATGCATGTAAATCAACACTGCATGGTGACTGTCAGCTTCATACCTCAGTCATTCAGATGTGTGTTTCTGTAACAAATCATTTACATTGAACTATAAAAAATATATAATTATGTAAGATTTTCTTTCTCAATTTCAATCATTTAATAAAATTGTAATGTCACTGAAAATTACATTTCATGAAGAGTTTCACTAAGACTCACCCAATCAATCTGTTACTTGTTCTATTTGGAATTTGTTTTTTTTGTTTTTTTTTCCCACAGCATGGAATCACTCAGACAAGTAATCTGGTGAACATAACTGATTTCTTTCAAACTTACATCCTGCCAGAATTACAAGCTTCTGATGGTAAAACTTTTTTCTTTTTTTTTTTTCTGTTTATTTTATCTTTCCACTATATCTGATTTTAATAAGGTCTTGGATATAAACATGGATTTCTGTGGCATTAAATTAAATCATAGAAGTTTAAACAACTTTTATTTTGGGTTGGATGCTATAAATTGAGGAATCGGACACATTTCCGTTATTTTTTTTATATATATATTATTACGTAAATATAACATTTTGGGAAACTTCAGTAGTAAAAATAATGTGCACCATTGATTATTTGGTGGTTGAAATAAAAGAGAATTATTTGGGGATTAATGTGAGAGGGACGTTATTGGGATTGAACCCTCCTTTAATCTCCCTTCTGATTAATAGTTATTCTTTTATTTATTATACAATAACTATTTGAATTAAATATATATGTGGGATTGGGGTATGAAAATGCTATCAAACCATTTCACTTTCAAAAATCTAACTAAATGACCAAATGTGTTTCATATATCATCTACACTTTAAAAAAAGTGGATAGGAGGCAAATTACAAAATAATGTACTAAGTATTGGTAATAACTTGATAATTTTGTATGTTAAATGTCACTTGACCGCCCTCTCACTTGTATTTCTGGTCTACAAATTTTTGAACATCAACAATAACTCCATTATAGAAGTATACACCCAATATTGTACATACAGTTAGCATCAGGATGTTTGGTAAGCTAATTATTACCAAAATTTAACTACTGTGCTAGACTTATCATGGCAAATAAAGCAAGAAAATCTTTTAAATTGTGTTTTTATTTTTATGAAAATGCCTCAGTGTTATACAAGTAATACAAAGCGTAGCAAAGCAAATTTGCTATATATCCACAGCCAAAATAGAACTTGCTTTTTATTTATATTGAGTTGATAATTTCTTTGTCTAGAATTTGTTACTTTATCAAAAGAATGTTTCTACTGAAAGATAATCTCTTGTTGGAATAAGTCTTCCAATAAACTTTGAAGATATCAAATAATTTTGTTTAATCTTGTATTTCTAGGATTTATTAGAAGCGTTCATTTTTTTTTTTTTTTTTTTTTTTCATGAAAATATGTTGATTTGTTTCTTTATTTTTTCCAGTCAACTCCCAGGTTGTTCTGAAAGCTGATGCTCTCAAATATATTATGATTTTTAGAACCCAGGTAAATTATAAGCTTCTCTTTATTGTTTATACAAAATGTCTACAGTTGAATAATTTTTAACTATGCGAATATCTTTTCTTTTTTTTTTTATTTGGTATAGAGTATCGAACAAACTATCTTTGATTACCTCATTCTTTTTTTGTTCCCAGACTCTGTGCATGTCTCTGAAAATACCCCTAATGTAATTCAAAGATACATTTTCCTAAATAATCCTTAACATTTTATTCAGTAAAATGAAGCTAAATTCTCAGAAATTCATTTCAAATTTGAAAATAAATATAGCTTGTAATTTTAGCTTTTGAACTTTTCCATATTAAGATATTTCAGAATTATTTTTACAGGAATAATAATTTATTACTTTTTCTGTTTGAAATGGAATATTTAGAATATGATTAAAAAATAAAGAACCTTGACACTTTCTAGTTTATAATTGGCTAAAGATGCTAAACAAATATTGTGAAGGTATATTAAAATATATTTCCTATTTAATGACTGTTTACAATTACCACTCACTGTCATCTTACAACTGGATCATAGAATAATCCTTTAATTATTCCATTATGTTGTTATTTGAATTTTAAGCTTTATAACAGATGTCAGATTCCAACATGATTTTTGAATGGTTAATTTTTGTAAATTTTTCCTAAAGTACATTTTAAAAAAAGATTACTGAAATGATTTCAGTGGAATGTTTTTGTTATGCTTTAGCATTTGTTGCAAAATTCAATTTCTTTCTTTTCAGCTCCAGAGGGAGGCTTTGGTTAGCTGCTTGCCTCACATTATCCGATATCTTTCTGCTGAAAGTCCAGTTGTCCATACCTATGCAGCTCATACAATTGAGCGATTATTGACCATTAAGACAAGCCAGAATACAGCTATGTGAGTAAATTAAAGCCTTGTGTGTGTCTATTATAGAACTTATGAATTATAACCTTAAAAACTATGCAATTTATTGGTTGTATAATTTCTTTTGTGTGTACACGCAATCTATAAGGGAGATAAAAATTAAGTAAATGATACAGTATAACATAGGCTAAATTCTCTCTCTTTTTTTTTTTCTTTTTTTTTAAATGGATTGTTTACTCAGTTTTCAAACATGAATTCAGTCTCTTCGTCCCAAATATATAGGTTTTCAATGTAGAACACATTGCTTAATTGAAGCAAACTTTAGAATGTTGACTTCTATTCTTTTTCTTTTTTCTTTTTTACACAGCTAGGATATTTATTATGTGTTGTATCTTATAAAAGGCTACAGATTTTTTATTTTATCTCTTTATTTAAATCTTAACCAGAAAATGTCTCATTCAATTGTCTAAGTGGTTGGGATTTGAGGTGTGTGTGTGTTGTAACAAGGTTAAAGGATAGGATTTTAATCATTATGTCATTAATTTTGATTTCTGTATGTGGTGGTGAAGTGAATGTCAGATACGAATTAGGTTACATTTGAGGTTTAAAAAAGATTGGAAATGACAGATATACTTTTGCAAAAAACGTGATATCTAAAATTCAAAATGAATTTTTAATAATGAAAAATCTTTCTTGAAGCTTTTATCTGAGTTTTAATTTCATGCTAAGAGATTAAATTGATTGAAAGCAAAAAAGTTTGAATTTAGTGCAATTTTTAGTAAAGTGTTATAAAAATGTATATCTCTCAAAAAAAATCTTCCAAAAATAAAATATACTTTTCTGAAACTTTATTTGAGGAATATTTAACTGATTCAAAGTATAATTAATCTGATTTGAAACGACTACCTTTTTTATTTTTTATTTTTTTTTTTAAGTTTAAAATATCACAGAAATGCATTTTTCAACATTACAGTAGATTGTTTATTTATGTTGACAGCTTTTTAACACCTCTGTGATAGCTCAATGACGAATAAATTTTTATCTAATGTTATTCTACGAGGGGGGGTGTCTTTAACCTTAAAAAATAATTGAGGAATATAAAGCAAATGCCTTTTAAGTACTTGGTAATATCCTCTGGAATCTAATGTTTTATTGAATTTTAGAGAATTTTGGCTCTAAATTTACTATAGTTGTCATTTTTATTTTCTGATAGACATATATGTATATCTTTAAAATTCAACACATTTTTACACATACAAAAACAATTCAAAATATTTTTTAAATATTTGGGGTTGGCAGATTGTAAATGGCTACGCAATATATGATTAGCAAATATAGTTTTACAAAATAATCTTTCCTAAGCATTACACCATTGAAACAATTTAAAAAAATTTTAAAATATTACAAATTATTCTAATTAAAATTTAAAAAAAAAAAAATCTTGTAAAAATTCATTTTTCATTGAAAAAATTTTTTCTTAAGACAATATTGTCCCTAATATACATTATTCCTAAAAGCAATTAAAAGCTTCTCTAATGTCTTAATTTTATTTAGCTCAAAGCAGATTTTTGGTAAGACACAGTCTAATTTTACAAAAAAAAAATTGGTGACTTAAATTCTCCAAAAAATTTTGCTTTTAACTAATATAGTCACTAAAAATTATCATGTTGAATTTCTCAAATTTCATAAAATTGGGGGTGAAATATGTTTAAAAAAGAAGAGAAAAATACATTTTTACCAAGATTTTTAAAATGTTTAAAAACGTTTTTAAAATAATTTCATTCATTTGTGAATAAGTCCTGAAAATTTGATTTAATTAAGGTTGCTGTTATGTTAATTTTAAATCTTTGAGAGAAAAAATTGTTTTTCATGAGATCACATTTTCTTTGTTAAAAAAAAAAAAATTTAAAATGCATAACCAAAATTTTTTTTTTTTTTTTGAAAATGCTTTGTTGAACTGAGTTTTATAAAGAACAAAATTAAAAAATTTCAAACCTATTTTTGTTTCCTCAGTCTTTTTTGCAAATATTAAGGATATTTTGATTTCATAAAATGTTTAGACTGTTTTTGTCATCATTGCCTTTAACTCTCCATGATCTTAAATTGTATTCATTTTTTGTTATTGTCAAGGATTGGTGCTGCTGACATTCAACCATTTGCCAGTGATTTGCTTCATAACCTTTTCAAAGTGCTCACTCTTCCTTCTTCTTCTGAAAATGAATATGTAATGAAAGGTAAATATTTCTAATTTTTGTTTTATGAAATCTCTTAGTATTTTTAAGGTTATTCATAATTGTACTTTAACTGCTTTGATAAAAAAATAAAGTAAAACTTGCACATATTGTAATAACTTCTAGAAATATTTTATTTTATCTAAATCTATTAAATGCTATGAAGTAATTCTTGAAAGGTTGTACATTATTTTTTTAAACATCTATAACTTATATATATAATGAAAGTCTTACATTTGATTATTAATTTGTCATTATCAAAAGTACACTTTATCTTATGTACTAGTGTTGGTGTAATGTTTATCTATCAGTGATCTGAAGAAAGAATCTAATTTATTACTTTGAGCACATGACTTTTTTTTTCCCTTTTATTTGCAGTTAGCATAACTAATAATAATAAATCTTTTAATAATTTATTGTATTTCTATTTTCCACTTTCATGGGATCTGTACATATCAAATGATGTTTTTTTTTCTGCAGCCTTGATGAGAAGTTTGTCTGCTTTAAATGAAAGCATCATGCCTCTTATCCCAATGTTACTGGAAAACCTTACCCAGAAATTGATGATTGTGAGCAAAGTAAGTTTTCACCTGTGATTGATAGAAATTAATTTTTATTTTAATACTTAATTTTCAATCATTTTCTGCCAGATTGATAGAAATTTGAATGATTGTGGAATAGGAAGTAGACTGACTTTTTTTTTTTTATAAATCTTTCTCACCTTGCCATTTCGTCTTCTTCATTTATGTCCTTTCCTAATATTTCAGAATCCCAGCAAGCCTCATTTCAACCATTATCTTTTTGAAAGTCTTTGTGTTATGATTCGAACTGCAAGTCGAGTCAATCCAGAAACGGTGAGCAAATTTGAGGAAGCTTTGTTTCAACCTTTTACTCAAATATTGCAGCAAGATGTCCAAGGTGAGTCAATAAAAGAATTTTTCCAAACTGTAAAGTTTTTGTTTTTCCCCAGTATTTACAAAAAATATAAATAAATCTTCGAAATCCCTTTAGCTTAATATTATTGCGAAAATCTTAGCTAAGAACGAAAAATGTATGTTGAAGAAATTTACACTTCCAAAAAGAAATTTGCAAAATTTTAGTCAATATAAATCTTGTGTATGTGAAATATTTCAAAACCTTCAGTTTTAGCATAAAATTGAATTGAATTTATGCGTGAAGATATTTAAAAAAAAAAAAAAAATAAATAAAAATAATAATTTTATACCATTTTATCTTTTTATGTAATAACTCAAAAAAAAAAAAAATCATTCTAAAGGCATGTAAGGAAACCAACAATAATTTATTTTAAAAAAAAATGACACAGAACAGCTTATGGCAAGTTGGGTGTAGCAACAAAGCAGACTAATATTACTAACTGATATAATTTCCATTCTGTAATCAATTGAAATGGCTACAAAAGAAGCAAATTTGGGAATTTGATCAGGAGTTAATGGCTTCTAACAGCCAATATTATTTGTTAAAGTTAATTTTTGTAAACAAATTGCTTGCCATTCTCATAAAGGTGTCTCTTGACAATACTCCAAAAGGTCTCTATGGAGTTTTCATCCAAGTAATATAACAGCTATGTCATTTTTAAACATTTAATTTATCTAATGCCATTGTCAACCTAGGGCCAATCAACTCATTACCAATGATTCTTGCCCAAAACAAGCATTTCTTGATTGAATGTCAAATATTTCCATATTTTTATTTGTCTGGTCATGCACTGTATGCATCTGGGCTTGTAACAAAAAATCTTATCAATTTCTAATGTTGTTTAATGATCATAAAGCATTTTAAATAACTGCCTTGTCATTGGTCAAACATTTAAGTCCATATTACATAAAAATTGGAGCAGTGTCAGTCTGAAGCAATATCACTAGAATGGGTGCCATTTGTGCAGAACCAACTATGTTATTGGACACAAACTTTTGGTGGAATTAAGTTCAAATATATTCACTAAAGAAGAAAGAGGATTTGTATGAAATGCTGGAATGTACTGTATATTTATTTTTTTATGGAAGAAATATACAAGAAAACCAATTTGTTTTTAAAAAGCAAAAATTTATTTTATATCGACTATTTAGATGTACTTTTGTCATGACTGAATGACAATCTTTGTGCTGAAGTTGTTTTGATGCCCTATTATAATTTTAAGATTTGTAAATTATTTTTATTATCTCATAACTTGTAATACACAAAGCCTTCCTTATAACTTTTAATGTTTTCATGTCAATAAGCACAATTTTCACACACATTGTTTTCTTCAGTTGTTTTATAAATGCTATGTCAATTGAAGGATCAAAGCAGATATTAAATTTTGGAAAGTTTTTTATTTGTATCAATGGAATTCTCTTTTCAGAGTTTGTTCCCTATATTTTCCAAATTTTGTCCATGTTGATTGAACTGCAACAGAATGAACTGACTTGTTACATGGCCCTCTTCCCTCACCTGCTGGTTCCTGTGTTGTGGGAACGCCCAGGCAATATTCCACCTCTAGTCAGATTACTTCAGGCCATCATTGAAAAAGGATCCAAACATATTGAACCTGAAAAACTGGTAAAGAAAAAAACAAACTTTTTTTTCTCTTTAAAACAATTATTTATCATCATTATGGAATAAATGTTTTCACATTTTTGTGATGAATTGACAAAGCACGAATAACGTTGGAATTGTTAATCCATAAGAATTACTAAGTTGTTTTGCTGAACGGCTTTGCATTTTTAACTTAAAATGTAATAAATTTCATGACTTTTTTAGACTGGTTTGTTGGGTGCCTTCCAGAAACTGATAGCCTCAAAAGCCAATGACCATGAAGGATTTTATCTTTTGAATTACATCATAGAATTTATGCCAGAGTGAGTCATGATTTCTTTCCTTTTAAATTTGTGGAACCTTTTTTCTTAAAAATTCTGCTTTGACACTGAATCCTGCTACCCAAAATGTATACATTATTTTGGAAGTGTTTCTATAGAAAACAAGTTTTATAATAGAATTGTCATTACAAGAATTTTCAGAATGAAAACAGAACTTAAAAAAACAATTTAAAAAAAAATGCTAAATGGAATGCTAGATTTGGATTTTTTTTTTTTTTTTATCTAAAGCAATAAACCAAATATTTATCTCAGTTTGATCTCATTTGGAGATAATTGTTTAGTATTTTTAATTTTTTTCAGCTTTATTACTTTCAAATTATGCAAGATACTTTTTTATCTCCATTTATGCTTCTAGTTTTCTCCTTAAGAAACTGTTGCATTTTAATTATTTGATTTTAGAAAATAGTTTATAATATTTTTTTGCTTTGCATTCATTAAATGCTTGTTTTTTTTTTGTTTTTTTTTTTCTTACAGATCAGTTATTTCTCCTTTCATCAACCAAATCTTTGTACTACTTTTCCAGAGGCTGCAGAGCTCCAAAACAACCAAATACATAAAGAGTAAACACCTTTCTATTGTTTGCATTTTATATCTTTTATCTCCCCAGAAAGATCTTTTTTTTTTTTTTTTTTTTTTTTTTTTTTTTTTTTTTGAAATCAGCCATTTTGAATTTTTAAAATGAGCAGTTAAATAAATTTATTCAATAGAATTTTTTTTCTTTTTTTTTTTTTCCTTTTTACCGGTTCTTGGAAGAAAAAAAAAGAAAAAGCTGATTGCAATAAAGTCTTTTTATTAATTTGAAAATTGCTGCTTTTTTTTTTACTTAGATAAATGCCTATATTACAACTGTCTAAGTTTAGATCACCTATAAAATTCAATTTTGTGAAAAATAAATTCAAGCTCATTTTTTTTTTTTTTTTTTTTCTTGTGAATGTTGACTTTGATAATAAACTGCTTTCAAGTTTATTTCTTGATTTTTCGTCTTTTCAGGTTTTGATGTTATAAAATATATTAGATATAAAGAAAACCTTTTTATGTCAAGGGGCCACTTTTTTTTTCATTTCCTGCTTAAAGTTAGGTTTTGGATGTTAAAAATAAAATATTTAGCTTTTTAAATATTGTTTAAATTAATAAGACTACTGCAAAGATGATTGTTTCATTCCAAAAGTAAGACTATCATCACAATAAGTTTAGTGTCGAAAATCTAACTCCATTTATTTCTACAGAATAAATCTATCTACAAAATGATGCCATTCTTAATTGATGTTAATTTTGAAACATGCCTTATTAAAAAAAAAAAAAAAAAAGTAATGACATATTTGAATATTGTAGCATATTTGAAAAAATATTTCTAGTAAATACTTTATATTTCAAGAATAATTTTCTTTTTACATATTACAAATTGTAACTTTAGTGATAAAAATTAATATTTATAGCAATATAATTTGTAATTATTTGTTTTTGTTTAGGTCTACTCGTTTTCTTCAGTCTTTTTGCCATCAAATATGGTGCCACCAATTTGATCCAAACTATCGACAATATCCAAGCCAAGTAAGTATTTAAAAAAAAAAAAAAAAAAAAAAAGTAAAATACTTGATCAAAGTGCTACACTTTGTGAATCATTTTATTTATCATTTTCAAATGAATGGAAGAAAAGAATAAACCTTTTTGATTCATGGTCATATGAAATCTGATTTACAAAAACTGAAGAAACACTGTTATAAGGAAGTAAAAAAAAAAAAAAAAAAAAAATTTTTCTTCATCTTGTACCAATATTGAAATTTGTTTTATATATTTTCTGGGTTGTCAGAAAAAAAGACGCAACATAAATCAACTTTTGTATTATGCAAAAATTATGTTAGAAATGGCAGAATTAATATTTCTACATTAGCTAAGAATCCATGAAATATGAACCAACATTGTAGATTGCTGTAAATTGATTAATCTCATAAAGTAAGGATTTCATCTAACAATCTGTAAACTTTGCTTCAAGATAGATTGAAAATTTCAATTCCTAATTGATTTTGTTCCACAATTTCATTTGAAAACAAATTAAGCATTAAGTGAAATGTAAATTTTTCTGTAAGTCATGTCTCCTACAGTTATTTGATTGTTTCTGTTAGCCAAAATGTTAATAGGTTTAATATAATTCCTTAATCAACAGGAATGAACATGTATAATAAATTGTCATGCATGTTTGTCTGTGTGTGTGCACACATGTATGCGTGCCATGTAGGTGAGGGGGAGTGTTGACCAATGGAAGTTCTTTGTTTATGGATTTTTATTGTTTTTCAAATAAACCTGGATAAATGAAAAATTGCTGCCCATATACACCATATATAATGTTTAAAATTTATATTTTTGGGGGGAAGGGTATTTAGTATGTGGATTGTTTTTTTTTTGTTTTTAGCTTCAAGTACTTTGAATATTTACAGTGTGTGCAGTATATTATTTTGACATTATCTACTAGCATTTGTTTTATGTTAATAGTCACATAGAAGGATACTTAATCTACTTCAGCTATGCAGCAACCCTACAGCTACACCCCGTCATGGGTGGGATGATAAAACTGACAGAACATAGTGTTTTTTTTTATATAAATCCTTATTTAATATGTAAAGCTATTAATTAACTTTTGTCTTTACAGAATGTTTGGCATGGTAATTGAGCGTCTCTTTGTAGCTGACTTACAGAAAGTGTCTGGAAATATTGATCGAAAAATATGTGCCGTTGGGGTAACAAAAATCCTTACAGAAGCCCCAGTTATGTTGAAAGCATATGAAACCTTATGGTGAGCAGCTTTAATATTAACTTTGTCCTGTACTAATTCTTTTTCATTATGAAAAATTAAGGAATCTGGTCATCACTCTCAATTTGGATTTTGTTGTAATTTGATTGCAAAACATTTTTTGAGTCAGTTTTTAGTTGCTGATAAATTCAAATTCTCTATTTTCTTAAAATTCTTAGCATTAGATTTGAGACTGTCAACTAAATTCTGTTGTTGAATCCACTGACATAAATTAAAGGTGTCTTCTCTTTTTCCAATATTGAATATAGAAGTAACACAGAATTTGAATATTTTTGCTTACTGAGGCTTTTAATTTATGTCCATCATTTTTATTCCACATGACTTGGTGTACAAGTTGTAATACTGATTGTTCCAAATCAAAACGGGAAATGACATGAAGATTAAAAAAAACAAAGAACCAATTTCATTGCAACTGGTAGAATTCAGGGAAACCAACAAAAGGTCAAAGTTAATTAAATACACAAATATATAGCTGATTGAGAAAAAATTTCTAGCATGTTTATTGAAAATAGAACTTGCATTTCGTCAATGATGGATCTCAGGAAATGATGAAATATTCTGAAGAAATAAAATTGAAGAGTCTTTGCTGGAAAAGTAAAGATCAATAGAAAAAAAGAACGGAATCTACTTTTCTTTCTACTCGCTGTCCTTTTAATGATGTTGAACAAATATTATTTTATGCCTTCTTTCTTTAATTGTTTTTATTCAAATTCATAAAAGAGCCTTGTACATCTCAGTTACCCTTCATATAGAAAAAAGTAAAAGCATTTAAAAAAAATGAAAAAAAAACTGTTTTATCATTTTAATGTTCTCACTTTATCTTGAGAAACCCCTTTCTAAAATGTTTTCCATTGTTTTTTATTTTTGTGTTAGATTTTCATTTTTCTCATGCTATTTTTAAACAGGGGAGGGTTGTTAGAAGCCCTTGTCAAGCTCTTTGAATTGCCTCAAGATGAAGAAGTACCTGAGGATGAACACTTTATTGAAATTGATGATACGCCAGGTAAGATGCCAATCTCAATCTGTTTTTTGTTTTGTCTTGCAAGACATTTATTTTTAAGTTTGATTTCACCACCATATTTTTCCAAATTAAAAATATATATAAAATATTTGTTCATTTTTATGATTATCTTTTAAGAAAGACATTTTTAATATTTTTCACTTTCCTAAATTTGTTCTTTTAAAAGTGACTTGTCAGTTCAGAAGTGAAAAATAAATGCTATCCCTCTGTTGACAACTCATTAGTTGTCATTGATGGTTTATATATATGTGTGTCTGCAAAAATGAAGTGTATGTATGAATTTTTTTGATGAGGAAACAAATCCTTGCTAGTTTAGCCTTTTTTCATTTTTGACTTACCTTGAACAGTTAGGAAGTGCTTACACAACATGATCACAGCCTGTTAATGAAAATCCTATCTTCAATCATGAGACTTTGGCCTCAGCATGATTCCAATTTAGTGCTGAAATCTTGCCTTTGATCACTTTGAAGTTGTGACAACAAATGTGAATTTTTAACATTTTTCATTTTTCCTCTTGAGAATCCTATTGTTTTTTTTTTCTTTTTGCTTGCATTTGTTTTAAGACTTAACAAATGAAATTTTCTTTAACATTTTTACTTTTTATTTATCCCCAAAACTGTTGACAGCATTTTTCAACTGGGTTCAACAATTTGTATATGGTTTGCAACTTCAGACAATAAGTTAGTTTGCTGTTGTAACATTAAATGATTTTATAAGTTAGGAAGTGTGTTTGTGTGTTTAAATTCCGCTTTTTTTGTCCCCAGCATTGTATGTACACCAAGGTGATCCTTATACCAGGTCTAGCATGTGACTGATGTCTGACATGTGGAAACCTAAACTAATACTAAATAATAATTACTGAGAAAATTTTTAGCAAAGAACTTGTTAATAATGTTCACTAATTAATTAATTAGCAACTATATATAATATTAGGAAGCATATTAGAATTATTGACTTATTTCCATAAATGCAAATGTACAAAGAAAAAATAAAAATATCATAAAACAACTAAATGCACAAAAATCACTTTATTCACTATAAATTAAACACTCTTAGAAAATGATATTGTAAAAATAATGAGTTAATTTGTTTATGATAATTGCTTACAGAAAATATAATTGTATAAAACAATCAGAAAGCAATTTCAGCATTTTACAAAATCATGTATCACAAAGTCTGAAAATGCTTTACAAAAAGATGAATTTCAGAGATACAAAAATTTTGATAATCTTTATAAACTTTATTGTGATTTTTGTTACATGTATCATTTATTTCACAGAAGATGAAGAAAATACTTATTTTACTATGATACAATAATTACCAGTATACATAGTTTTAAAAATTAAAATCAATTTACATTAATAAGAACACAAAATTAGTTAACAGGATTAAATATATGTAAAAAGTGGGGAAATTGAAAATCAAAAAATATGTGGTACCCAGTGGAATTTTTAAATTACCACAATCTATTTCTTTTCTATTAATTTTTTTCTTTCTAGAAACTTTTTTTTTTTTTTTTCACAAAAGCAGAAGTTGTATTTGCAAGTTTGATTGAGGACTAGGTAATATGGCAAATGATCAAATATTATTGGTGGATTTCTGGGTTATACTTTTTTGTAATAACTGCTGTTTCATAATCAGGTGGAAAGCACCTTTGTCAGAGATGTTATCTTTAACCATTACTCTCACTCATTCTGATCTTGGGGAAGACAAAATACACAAACCTTATTTTGTTAATCGTAATTTCCACAACCTCTTACAACCTGTTTCTAACCATTTTTCAGAAAGATTTTGGGGTACTGAAATTAAAATATTAACTACACAATTATTTTGTAAAAATTACAATTTTATTACATGCTACTTCTAAAAAGTGTATGAACTTTAAGGTCTGGACTGGAGGGTTCAAAATTAATAATTTAAACTTTATATAAATGTGGGAATTTGTCTTTTTCTTGTGTTACTTTCAGTCTTCTTTAAGGAATTATGTGGTTCCAAAGTATTTCCAAATTGTTTCACTGATCAGGATCCATTTTTTTATTATAGCAAACTGAATCTCCATCATTAAAATTTTTGGATAATTGTATTTTATAATTTTATGGGTGTTGTGGATTGATCACTCCCCCCCCCCCCCATAAAATACAATTATCTAAGCAAAATTAACCATTTTAATATTTTTACAGTATATTTTTAAAAAACCCATTAAACTAGTTATTTTGTTTTACTCTTTTCTTTTTTTTTTTTTTTTTTTTTTTTTTTTTATAGCTGTAAATAATTTTTTAAAACTAATGTTTGTTATAAAGAATAATATCATAGAAAAATATTAAATTTTTATTTAAATTTCTGTATAGTAATTTTTGAAAATTAAGTACAAAAAGTTTTTTTTTTTTTTTCTTACAAAGATGGTATCAACTTAGTTCACGTGTTATAAAAAAACAAGATATCTTAAAAATGAATTTTATAATCAAGGCATTCATTATTATGAAGAATAATAGCATAAAGAAAAAAATTAACTTTCTCTGACAAAATTCTTAATGACATTGGGGTATGAATTTCACTGTTTAAAATAATTGCAACAAATGTAAAAAAGAGACAATATTGACAAGTCAATGAATGTAATTTAAATTAACTTTATGAATTCTTAATGACACTTGCGAATTTTGCACTGAAAAAGTTTTTTTGAAGATAAAATATGTAAGTTCATATAAAATAAATAAATAGTATACTTACTATTATCTTAAATAATTCAACTTAATCCAAAGGTAAAAAGTAAAAATTTCTTTAGAAAAGAATTTCTTACTCCAATTCCAGCAATGACCTTTCATGTATTAACAGTTTGCATCCATTAACTCACAGGCCTCAACATGATGTAGAGGCTTGGTGTAAGGATTGCCTTGATACAAACTAATATTGAAGATGAATCCAAACATGAAATAACAATCTTGGCATAATTTTAATCTTTTACCTTTTGTCCATGTGGAGTCTTTTACTGCCTGTTCCCTACATTCATTCATTTCTCTTGTGTTGTCTAGGTTACCAGATTGCTTATTCTCAACTGGCTTTTGCTGGCAAGAAAGAACATGACCCAATTGGCAATGCCATTCTCGACATAAAAGGCAATTTAGCCAAATCCCTTGGGAAAATGTCATTAGAAAACCCAGGAAAAGTAAGTTCAATTTTTAACAGTTTAATATTCATTCATTGATTGATTCCAATTTGTTGTATAAATTTGTTTCTTGTTTCCATTTTTTGTTTCTTTAGAGATTCTTGAGAAAAACCTAAAATTTCCCCAAATGAATTTCCTCTGCAAAGTGCTACTCAGTTTGTTAGGTTCACAAGGCAAGATGAAAGAAAGAAACAATCACCTTCACTGGGTCATTAATTGCATCCAGGCCATGATAGTTGTCTATTAGAGTTGTACAGACTTATAACCTTCCAGTTATAAAGTGGTCCTTTTGTGTTTCTTCAGTTGTCTCTTCAATCTCCTTTTTGAGATCAATGGTTAGAAAAAAGAAAGAAAAAAAAATATGAAAAAAGTAACATCGACTCGTATTATCTGGTTTTCATTTTGTTTTGTCAAAAACGTGATTTATTTTTTTCTTCTTACTGCTCTACTTTGCCTCTTTCCTCACCATCATGTCAAAGTTGTTTGGGTCTTCTTTACACCTTGAAAGTGAAGGAAGTGTTGAAAACAAAATTAAGCGACAAGGGTCTCTCGCATGCAGCTAGCAACGGCTTGCAACCCCCAAGTAAAATTTTCAAATAAAGACATAATTCTCATGACTCCTTCCAGATATATTTTTAATTCTGGATTTTCTTGTTAGTAACACTTGTTTGGTTAACCCAAGCCCCTTCTTGTTTGATTTCTGCTCTTTAATCATAGCATCTCATTTGCAGATTGTTCAAATAATCTTTCGTATCACTAAATACTGTCAGTTTTATTACTCCTAAACATGGTCATCTTTGGCTGTCTGAACACCTATATTTGAGAATAAATTTGTGTTGATGTCATTCACAAACTATGCCACAAATTCCACATTCCTATTTATTTTCTCAACTAAATTCTTGCAAAAATGAAGAAAAGAAAAATTCCACTCATTTTCAACTTGTAAAATCCTACGATAAGAGTTTATCTTGCCAGACAACATTATGACAAATTGTCTTCACAAATAATGTATATATTAACTGCACTAGGGGAGAATGAAATTGTAAAATATCCCAAAATAGACCCAAAAATATTTAGATATTAATGGCACTTTATCCACTTTTTTTATTCAATCCCATTTCTTATGCTTTTTATCTGAATGCTGTATAGTGATTATTAGCAAGTTAATTTTACTTTTACTATTGATTTTGATTCACACAAAGTGCTTTACTATTGTGATAGTAGATTGTGAACCTGTTCCATATTAAGCTTAAAAAATGTTTTCTCCTTTTTATTTAAACCTTGCTTTCTACATTGATAGTGTTTTTTTTTGTTTTTTTTTTTATAACAATCCAACTTTTTTCACCCGTTTTCCAGTCATGATAACAATGAAACGACAATCCCAAATTAATTTCTTTGTGATTATTTATTAAATAGGGTTGCCTATTGCCCAGTTCACATTCCTTCCCAGCCTTTTGAATAGGGTTAGAGGTTTATTGCTTGTTACCTGTTTAGGATTGGGTTTCCAGTTCCTTAAGTTTTTTTTCATTCTCTTTTAAACTGAGTAACGCCATATGTTTTAATGGCATTATCACTTTGGTTAGAGTAAAATGATATATAAAAACCCCCAAAATTGTTGTTCCCTTATGTTCCATTGATGATGAGAAATTAGATGCCTTATCTTTTAAATGTCCTATTTGTTTGTCACAAATGCTGATTCACTTGCACTAAATGTTGTATGAATTTAATTTATTATTTTATCTTTTATCATTTGCTATTGCTTTTCCTTTTTGATGCTTTTATGACATTTATTTTATGGTTGATTAGTTGTCCAACTCTATTGTGACATTCAATAGAAGTCACTTGAAAAGGACTTTGATAATTGATCAGCTGAATCAGAATAAGTGTGCAGGTGGGGAACAGATATTTGTTTGTAAATCTTATTGAATGATAAGAGAAGAAACTCTTATGTCAGTACTTCAGGCAGCCATAAATACTAATAAAAATCTTGCATTTTTTTTTTTCTTTTCTTTTTTCCAACCAGCTGATGCCCCTTATCAAGTCTGGCCTTCAACCAGAAGCTGCCAACTTTCTCCAAATATATTTGCAGTCAGCTGGAGTCAGCCTAGCATAGGATTTTTTCTTTTTCTCCTCTCTCTCTCTCTTTTTCCATTTTTGACATTGGGGAAAAATATTTGAACTGTAACATAGGCAAAAAGGAAAAACCAAAAAGAAAGAAAGAAAATGCTTCTTGAAGTCCATGCTGCTCTTATAATCATTCTACCATTTGGTAAGCCAACATTTCTCATAGCTGCCAACAATAAAATTTATTTATGTTGCTTGTTAACTCATGCCAAATAAAAGCAAAAAAATGAATTTGATAAAAACAGATCTTCATTGATTATTTCATGTGTGGAGGCAGATATCTGTGGCTTCAACTAATTTTCTGTTTGCATTCAATTTATAGAAATCAACTGTGTAATCAGTTTGCTTATTAATTACCACCCAATGATCTTCTTGATTTCAGAAATACATAACAGAATTCTTTGTTAATGGGGAAGAAAGAGAGCGCTTAGAATACCCAAGATGGAAAATGCAGATAGATTTTGAACAATGGGTAAAGATTACACTCTCATTATTTCAATTGCTTGAAAAGGCCAATTGGATAACAACACCTCCTCCTCTTGAGCTGTACTGCCAGGGACATCTGTCTTTCCCAGTGGCTTCATCTTTAATGTTTCTAGCCTTTCACTGCTCATATGACTTAGGTTAATCCGTAACCTCATTTGCCTAAGCATTATCAACCACATCATGCAGCTAATGTGACATTCTGGTATCATACAAAGTTTTTCTTGGCTAGACTATGTCATTGAATATGCAGCACAAATATGTTATTCTTAAAATGACCAAATAACACATTTTGTAACCATGTGAAATCTCCATTTGTGCCTGAGAACACTCTTTAGGTGGGTTTATAGCAGTGAAATTAATTAAAGCAGATGAAAAAAGTAATGGTGATCAGTTATAGAAAGAACCAATTAAAAATCTTAATTAGAACCTAATGTTGGAAACAGAATCAACCAGAATTGAATTTAGCAGGATTGAGTAAATCCAGTAAGACTAAAATTCATGCAATCTCTCTCTGGCTCGCCTAATAATTAATGGTCAAATAAAAATGTGAGGCAGTCAATCTAAAGTGGTATTGGGCCACTTGTCAGCATTAGGGCCATTTGGTTTTCAGACAAAGATTTTGAGATTAATTACAATAAATAAGTCATACATCAATGTCAGGGTAAAAGTAAATTTAAGGTACACACAGACTACCATAAAGGTATATAGGTCATATGACTAAGAATGAATATAAAAATACAATTACTATACCACAGTATTGTATCCCTGTGATAAGAATGCTACAAGCTCTGGCATATTTTTTTTCTTACCCGCTATCCTTATCTTTATAATAAACCAAAAGTTGTTGAATGCTAAACAAGTGTTAGTGTTATTATTGATTGTGCATGAAAATTGAAGCTATTTAATTTCAGCCAACAATTAAAAATGGGTCATTGAAGAATCCCTTACATGACGCAACAAATCAAAGTGTAACAGGCCTTGTTTAAACTTTTAAATGCATGAAACTACAGGTTGGTGATTTGGAGAGACTACTAACTGGATGACGATTGTTGAAATTCTCAGTAAAGTGGTTTGAATAGTTGAAAAAAAAATTAAAAAATGAAATGCATTAAAAATTATGTAATAAAATGAAATCGAGAATAGTTCCAAAGAGAATCAAACCCAACTTTTAACTTGATGGAGTTTAGTTTTAGCAAAGCCAAGATTCTCAATGCTCTTGCCAATAAAAAAAGAAAATGTATCATTGTTGGTCCTCGGAAAATATAAACAATATGCGTTGATTGCAATATCTCATCGATAAAGAATATGGGTAGTCACTGAAAATAACGATCTAAAATTATTCCGGACAAGGAACCAGGAAGACATCTGTCTGGGTTATATAGAAAAATCATGCCAGCCACTGAGAGAAAAAATGTTCTTACAAAAATAAAGATTAGTGGCTAAGTTGGGGGACAGGTTTGTTTATTTTAATTTTTGTGACATTTGTCAAAAATTTTTATAGCTGAATTTATTTTGGATTTTTGGCACAAATGTGATTGCCAGTTTGGGCTTATGGGGGCATGGAGATAGTGTAATTCCAACATTGGGAATTGTTATTGTCTGCTGTCTTTGTGTAGATAAAAGAAGTCATCAATCATCATTATCAGGAAAGAGTCATCTATACATGTCAAGCACACATTCACTAAGAGTCATTCTTCTCCAAGCATGCAGTGGGCATCATACATGGGAAGGTGTCCTGCATTTCGGCATGGGTCCAGAATTGCTAAAGTTGTCACTAAAGAGCATGCACACAATTTTTGGGTTGTTATGAAAACACAATATGTGCATGACAGGAGTATTGAGAAATGTTGACAAGCAGCCTTTACCTGTGTGATTATGACTAAATCTCTTTTAACAGAAGAATTAAAAAAAAAATGTTAACGAATGGGCCATTACCTGAGCAGTTATAAGTAGAAATCTCCCACACCACCAAAGAGTTGACTGGGCATCCCTTTTATTAGGTGCAACCAGAATTTCCAAATCACCACTCCTGCAGTAGATTATTTTGATTTGCAGTAGCTAATAGACATTTTATTCAACTAATTTTCTTAATTCTAACAGGTTTATTGGATATAATCAAGTGTTGTGCATTTATTTGGAAGTTCTTTTTCCAGTTTGAGTGCCTTGACGGAAGAGACAAGTTGACCATGACTATGGAATGTGTTGCATAATCTTTGATGGGGGGTTATGCAGTTCTGCCCATAGTACACAATGTACATAAGGGCTTCACACTAGATTTTACTGTCAATCCCAATATGGTGAGATTTTGGAAAACCTGAAACAACCCTATCAAGACGACGGCTCCATCCGAGGAGGGGAAAAATGAAGCTAGTTGATTGTAAGGTTGGTATTACACAACCAAGCTAGCTACTTGCAAATGGAAGAAAAGGAAGTGGTGGGGATAAGGGTTCATTGTCAGTAGGTGGGTTATAAAAGCAGAAAGATCCATTGCATCACAGGCCAAATCAATGAACAACAAACAAGACAATCTACTAATTTGTGAGCTGTTGCAACTGGACAAACCTGCAGTATTGACTACAGTGCACTAACAATCCAATTCCCGGTGATTACAGACTAAATAACTTACAATATTTTTCTTTGCATATCCTATTTACATTTTCACTCTATTAGGCAAAAAGAAAAGCTACAACCATTCTTTTTCATCCAAATTTTTTTTTTTTTTTACAAATGAAAGCTATACTTAACTCACAGAAGATTGAAACTTTGAGTACCTTGACTCTACAATGATTATCATAGAGAATGCTTCAGTGATTGATTTAGTCTTATGATAATAATTTTTTCCCATTATTTATGTGTTATAGATATAATTTAGCAAGCAGTCAATATTCACTTCTTACAAGGTAACTTCAATTTTTGTTAGCTGACAAAGCATTGGTGATAGTTTTACATATACACATGTATATACACACACTCACATACATATAGTGTGTGTTAATAGAAATTGCTCCTAAAAATCACATTTTTTGGTTGGATAACATGTGCATGCACAGCTTATATATATAACATATACACCTACATAATGGACATACCCTCACTTAATGATAATCATGAAGAAAGCCGTAGGACTAAATATATATCACCTCCCCTATTACATTTAAATAGTAGAGTATTCCTTTATGGTCACAGTTTGATATGCTTGATGAAGACCCTAATTTCAGTTGAAAGAAAGAGTGTTTCAAAAATTATACATTTAACCTTTCCAATCATGGAAGCTGAAGATTTTTTGATTTTTTTCTTTTGTTTTAAACCTTGCTCTCCCTATTCCTGTTTTATTATCATTGATCTAAATGGGCACAGCATGATTTTGTTTCATTAATGGTAAAATTTTATTCCTAAAAACATGGACTACAGAAGAATGATTGGGAGTTAAACTAATGTCACCTTTAGTCATGTTTTGAGGACGTTTACATTATAATTTTACTGATGAGTTGAATGGTGTTATTTTCTTATCTTCAATATGTATTCAGTGCTATTGTTGAGAGAGAAAAGCTCCAAAAAAGTGACACAGGCGTACAACTATATAAGGCCCAATATAACCATCATGGTACCCAGTCTGATAAGTATATACCAGGCACATGCATCACAGCCAAATGTATACAATTTAGTGACAAGTTCTGATAAAATTAGGTGGGGTCCAGTTAGAAATACCATCAGGTTAGGTAGCTCAATCTACTAAAACTGTTTCTGATTGTGGATGTTCCCAAATGTCCAGATGTGTCTCCCAAGTCACCTTGGCTGCCTCATCCTTTGAACGTAATTTTATCAACACCTGACTATGATACTCCATATCTACTCCCACTCGTGAACAGAGATGCACATATGCATGTTCCCAAGAGGCTTATGCTGTCTTGTTAAAGCCTGACAAGCAAATCTGTGATACTGAATGAAATATTTAATGTAGCCCATTTTAATTGACCAAGACAAAATACATAGATGTTAACACCTCCAATCAATTGAGATCAGAAGCCATGAGAACCATGCCTGCTGGTATGATCTTCATTAAATGCTTATAAGTAACATTTAAATCAGCATTGTCTACTTTTTGTTTTGGTTTAACTTTAAAAAAATCTTAATCCTGACCCAAAAAAAAAAAAAAAGAAGCTATTGATCAATATGACCCCCATTCCAAATGTCTCCTGGGACAAAGGTGTCTTTGATATTAAAATGAAGCCTGAAATAATATTAAGTTACATTTTTTACTTTTATATAACAATCCTAAATCTACAAAAAGAGAGTATTGATAATTTTCTCAACCCTTAGGATGAAAAATACAAAATTAGCTGTGTAATGCGAATTAATTTCTGACTGTTATACTATGATGTTGCAATTGTCTGTCTACAGCTGTGATTTTTTTTTTTTATCTTATGACATGTCTCAGTAGTAAATTTCTCCAAGAGATTTCTTCGGCCTACAGGGGGTGATGGATAAAATGTTGTCTAAATT